CTGCACCAGCTTGTGCACGTCATAGCCATCTGACAGCTTACGAACCAGTACTAATCCAGATAATATATATATATATATATATATATATATATATATATATATATATATATATAATATAACAATAATAAACCAGAACTACTACAGTAATATTTACTAGACGCGAGTCCACGTAACCTGCCACAAACAAATCGGAGAAGGAGAGTTCAAACCTGATTGGACAACATGACCTGAAAGAGGACAACATGACCTGAAAATGACGCTTTAGGTCAGGAAACGCGACAGACGTGCGCTCTATGGGCAGAACGGGAGAACAAAATATACTTTTGTGAAAGCTGGTACCTCCTAGGATTTTGAAGATTGATAACTCAGCACAAGTGAGCTAATACTCCCCCCCCCAAAAAAAATCAGGCGCTTGACATTTCATGACATACCAAAAATCAGGCCGATCTGGACATTTCAAGAAAGCATATCTAAAGCCTGCGAAACATTTAAAACCAACAAGCAGCCGTGAAGGCATTTATTTGGTCGGTTTTTTGGAGAGCACACATTTCGCTTTAAAAAGGTTCCACAAAGTACCCACAGTAAAGAAATACTCTGACATGGCAGCATGACTATTACAACAATGTGTCAAGCAAAAGGGTTTTCCAACAGACCATCACCCAAGCCCACCAATTCACAGACGTGTTTGAAGAAAAAGCACACAACCACCATCCCAAAACTTCAAATTGTAGTGATTCCGAAACAGGGTATTCCGATTGCCTGCTGATCGGGGTCATGCAGTACCAGCTTCTTCATCAGGGTTCTTTCCGTGTTGTTTCTTCCTGGGCGTCAGATCTTGATGTGCGGGCGGTTCAGGTACCACCGCGGAGCAGGTCCTAGCCAAGCTGATCCAAAACGCATTGTTTAAAACAAGCCCGCCGACAACGGCGACGGTCAGACGAAGTAGGCTCACTGCGACATTGTATGATGCATTTCAAGCCACAGGAAATGACACCGCGTTGTCCGCGCTCCGACAGAGCGACGGCGTCGTCCGCCTCCGCGTCTGCGTCGGGCGACGGTGCCGCAGCGCAGGCGACGGCGAACGCGACCAACAGCAGGGCCAGCAGGGCAGTGAAGCGCATGGCTGCTGGTGAGAGGTGTCTGTGTGCCGAGATGGCCGCCCGTGCCGCCTTTTAAACCCTGAAGAGACAAAGGCCGGGCCTGGCGTGGACCCAGGAATGGCTGATTGGCTCAGACCAAGTGTTCGTGAAGCACAGGTTGATCGATGACAGCACCCTGAATAACATACATAATGAGGACCGATCGATTATTGATTTGGCTCCCATTTGGCTTTTGCAACCAATGCTGAAAAAGACATGGACTTCACCCGCGAAACGAGCTGTTTGCCTGGCAGGACAGAACGACACCAGTGCATTTCCAAGCGTTCTTTTCGTCACGTTGTCTTTGGCGTGTAGAGACCAGAATGTCTATACCATGTCGGGATAGGCATCACCGAATACACCAACGTGAACGTAAAAGGAGGAGAAGCGTCGACACTTGTACAACAGCGTGTTTGACCAGTAGAAATGGCCAACACCGTTGTACCGGCGGCATCTCCCAACTTCACTACAATGCCAGTAACAGCTACGGCGGTGAAAAAGAGCGCAGGTGAAGTTTGACGAATCACAGGGGAGCGAAACACCACCGGCGCGAACGGCCTGGCCCATCATCTATAACGTTCATTTACACAATGGCGTTACCGCGGCAGACAGTGAAATGTTTCACAATACCTATATTTTCTTGAAAAGCAAGACATTTATTGAACTGGGACAGCTCATCGATCAGCCGAAGAGATCAGGCTCTCTACTGGAAACATCGCACGTGGTAACTACGCCCCGAGTAGTTCCAAGCCCGGCTAGTGATCAAGACCTCGTCGCAGCCGACATTGCAAAGTCCCGCGGCAGACCAAGCCCTGCCGAGGGGACTGTGCGTGCCACGCGAGGACTGAACGCAGACGAGATATGTAATCATTTTTTTAATATCAGGCTGGAGCTCCATCTATTATTCGGATACTACGAATGACAAATGGGCAGCGGGGTTGTCGGTGTGGTCACCTGCATCAGTCGTCACCGGACCGCGTCAAGATCGAGCCGAGATATTGTCGGCGCCCGTCGATGAACAGAAAACGAGTCAAGATAACGAGCGCAGAGCACGTGTTTGGCGCGACATGAACCCTTGTAACGACACGCATGCATGATATCGTGCGTGTCGCGATGCGACAGGGTGCTCAGTGTCGTGACCACGCATGTTCCCTCGAGATTTCCCACCGGCACTGCAGGAAAACAACATGGAAAAATGTCTAAGGCTTCGTGATCTCGTCCAACATCCGAAACTAGCTCCTCTTCCGACTAAGTATGCAGCCCAACAGGCTCATCACCTCAACCCACACTTTTCTGCTGTGGGCCCCAGCGTTGCAGCGCCGCCGCGAGGCAGGTGGATGTGTCGCCGCTGAGCGCTGAGCGTGATGATGGTCGTGGTTCACCTGTTGTGTTGGAAACGCTTCGGTTGTGTCTGGCATTGTACCATCCGACTGCTAATTAGCTACTATTTCATCATAGCATGAGGCTAGTAAAAGGACTGCTTCAAACAATTCTATGTATACCGATTTCCATCCTGCCGACCGTTGGAAAACTGACTGAACGAGTAGTATGTGAGTCCTACTGGTCCGCGTACCCCGACACTCCATCCTGTGTGATGAACATGGCATCCGGCGGTCCGGGCACTCCACGGAGACGGTCATGTGGTCGACCCGGACGTGCATCTTTCGGAAGTCCTAGACAACCAAAAAACCTCTTCACGAACTGCGATTGGCACACCCACAAGCTTCAACAGCGTCGAGAACGAACGGCTCCTGGAGAAGCTCCATCGACGCAGGGACGTGCTCTGTGCTCACAGGACGCGGCTGCTAAGTCACGGCGTGATCCAGGGCCCGACACCAGTACCAATCGCAGCTTTGTCAATCACCAATGACTTTCCATCTCACATCACCGACTGCCAGCTCGTCACGAGTGTGGACAACTTGCACGCGTGCCCCCTGAACGCTTCAACTCGCCTTCAAGATCGCATCGAAGAGACTAGCGGTAGCTGACCCTTGCCTCGCGCAAAACAGGGTTGAGACACATCCGACGAAAACCGATTTTATCTTCGTACACTCACATCATCGACGCTGAGGTGGTATTTTTAAACTGAATTCAGATATTCGGTTATTCAAGTCCCCCACTTCGTCAAAACCCTTGGTAATGTAGACGGAAACCTGCCTTGTGAGTTACATGTGTCATCAGAAGTCAAGCGCTGCGATGCATCCATAATTTCCGGTATCTCAGAATTTCTAAAGAAGCTGACAGAGAATGCTAAAAAGAGGCCAACAGAAGCTTTATATTTCTTCATTTACAATACTGTTCGACTGTGTGGGGACATGCAGCAGAGCCCAACAGCATCGTATTAAAAAACGACCAACCACTGTGCGCGTATCGTAAAAGGTGCACGGCGATATGATCAAGTTTGTCCAGTGTCCGAGTGTCCGGGTTAAAATGAGGGCAATATTGGCGGGCTTTTACCTGAAGGTGACCTAGCGGTACCGTAAATAATCCTACACGTCTCGGTCACCGACATCTCTGAAAGAGCGTGTGCCGTACGGCGATGCGGTGTCAGCCCGTGCCACGCGTAGAACCACCGATACCGATGCGGTGTCAGCCCGTGTCACGCATGGAACCGTCGATGGCGATCCAGTGTCAGCCCGTGTCACGCGTAAAACCGCCCATAGTTTTTTGGAGCTGCTGAGGGCGCGCGCGGAGATAGCCCATCGGAGCACTGCCTTCAGAGCTGCGTACACATGAAGCAGATCTCCTGCGACGGTACGGGAGTCGGCTGGCCGGAGAGCCTGTACCCAGCCAGTTCGGCAAGCGTTCCAACATACTGACGCGTGACAGTGCATCACGTGCCTTAGCATGCGTGTGCGTGTGTGCGGGTCCCGAAGCATTGTTTGCTCGCCCTTCGTAAAGCGAATGCTTCCACGATTGAAACACCATCAGTTTAGAGACGCGGCCGCCTCAACTAGCGCGAAGATGCAACGGCACGAAGAGCCTACCGGTAACGAATGAGGGGTCGGGCCGGACAAAGATATTCAGATCAACAGCGGCAGGCGCGCGATTCGGTTGAGGGGTGGGGCGGCGAGCTGGTGGGGGTGGAGGGGGAGGGGGGGGGAGCAGCTGAAGGTGACACGGCGACAGCCGAGGACCGGCAGGTGACGCCACAGATGGCTACCTCAGCCGGGGGCCGGGTGGGCGCAGCAAATCCGAGAGATGACATGATCAATTGCTTCATCGTGAATATTTAAGGGCAAATTTGAATACCGAATGAGGCGACTGAGGAATGATGCAATGCACGTGGCCAAGGCCATACTGGCGGCCATTGTAAGCAGGGTACGGAGAGCGTACTCAGAAACCAAATGCCAGACATGACTCTCGGGGATGAGCAAAGCCGCAACCGAGCCCCCCCCCCCCCCCCTTCCCCAACCTCCAAGGCACTCATCAGCTACCTGATGAGGCTGCTGCTGGCCAGAACCACGCCAAGTCGGGATCAGAGGATATAAAGCAGGAGCCACTCAGTGGCCACATGAATAGGAGCCGGCGCGCTTGATGCTTCATAAACCGTTCCCTGTACGCCGTTCACCTCTCAGGCTCCTGTGCGCCACAGAAGCCTATCCCCTTCGTACAACGCCGCGCCGTTCACGCGCGAGCAAATGTCGCTTTTCCCCGCTCACACTGAGCCGGGTCAAGCTGCGCAGACAGCTTCCGCCCAGTGGCTCGCGATAGCCGCGCCGCCCGCCTGTCCCGCATCCTGGCTTTCTTCGCCCGCGACCGTTTTGCCCGGGCCTCTTGCCGCCGCCTGCGGTCGCGGCGTCCGCGCACCGCCGGCGGCCGGGCGGCACCAGTCGCGCCTGGAGCCCATGTGAGACCCACCTGGTGGTGTGCAGGTGCGACAGCGTCACCAGGTCGGCCAGCACCTTCACGCCGCCCGCGTCCAGCACGTCCTTGACGTTGCGCTGGTGCAGGATCAGCTTGCTGATGAACAGGATCAGCCGGTCGCGCTCAGCCCGGTCCGTGCACTGGCCGACGTGGGAGGGACGGCCGGTCAGCGGCGACGGGCGCCACACTCCGCCAAGTGCTCCCGCTGGATCGGTCGCACTTTCATAAAAACAAGTCTATCTATGGCATCGCACTTACCGAGAACAGCATAAAATCAGCACAAGCACGGCCATGGACGACAAGGACGGCCTTCACTACCCACAATGCCAACCAGGAGCCGGCAGGCTCCACTACTTATAGTGCCAGCCGAGAGCCCGTTGGCTTCACTATCCACAGTGCCAGCCAAGAGCCGGTGGGCTTCACGACCCAAAGTGCCAAACAGGAGCCGGGGGAGGCTTCACTACCCCCAGTGTCAGCCGGGAGCCGGCGGGCTTCATTCACTACCCACAGTGCCAACCGGAAGACGGTGGGTTTCATACCCACGGTGCCAGCCAGAAGCCGGCGGGCTTCATGCACTACCCACAGTACCAACCGGGAGCCGTGGGGAGGCTTCAAACCCCTAGTGCCAGCCGGGAGCCGGCGGGCTTCACCACCCACAGTGCCAACCGGAAGCCGGCGGTCCTGACTACCCACAAGGCCAGCCGGGAGCCGGCGGGCTTCACTACTCAGAGCCAGCCGGGAGCCGGCAGGCTTCACTACCCACAGTGCCAGCCGGGAGTCGGCAGGCTTCACTACCCACAGTACCAGCCGGAAGCCGGCGGTCCTGACTACCCACAAGGTCAGCCGGGGGCCGGCGGGCTTCACTACTCAGAGCCAGACGGGAGTCGGCAGGCTTCACTACCCACAGTGCCAGCCGGGGGTCGGCAGGCTTCACTACCCACAGTGCCAGCCGGGAGTCGGCAGGCTTCACTACCCACAGTGCCAGCCGGGAGTCGGCAGGCTTCACTACCCACAGTGTCAGCCGGGAGCCGGCGGGCTTCACCACCCTCAGTGCCAGTCGGGAGTCGGCGGGCTTCACTACCCACAGTGCCAACCGGGAGCCGGCGGGCTTCACCACCCTCAAGGCCAGACGGGAGCCGGCGGGCTTCACTACTCAGAGCCAGCCGGGAGTCGGCAGGCTTCACTACCCACAGTGCCAACCGGGAGCCGGCAGGCTTCACTACCCACAGTGCCAGCCGGGAGCCGGCAGGCTTCACTACCCACAGTGCCAGCCGGGAGTCGGCAGGCTTCACTACCCAGAGTGCCAGCCGGGAGCCGGCAGGCTTCACTACCCTCAGTGCCAGCCGGGAGCCCGCGGGCTTCACCACCCACAGTGCCAGCCGGGAGCCCGCGGCCGCACCACGCCCCGCCCGCCGCGACGGCTGACTGACCCGCTCCAGCATGCTGACGATGTACTTGGTGTCGCCGAAGTGTCCGATCTCGGCGTGGTGGCGGCCGTAAACAATGGCCATGGCCTGCAGGCACATGCACTTCATCGGAACCTTGGGCGTCAGCAGGAAACGGTGGTACAGGTCGTTGAAGAACTCGAAACTGCGGAAGGAGGCGAGAGAGCGTTGACAGTGGGGCAGACGAGAACGTAAGTGAACGCCATGTGACGCTAGGAACACCGCAGTACCGATACACGATGTCCAATTCACTCAACTGCGGAGCAGATGTACAGCACAAAGCATGCGACTGCAAGTACAGAGAGCATCACCCATAAGGCTGACAATGTGAATGAGTGCAGGTGGGGAGGATGGGTAGCAGACACTTTCACCTCACCGCCTCTCAAGAGCCTCCCCGCCAGCCCTGCTGAAATCCGCAGCCCGCGAAAGTAATCGAGCGCCGAATCGAGCCGAGCGTCGAGCGCGAGCGTAGGGCGTGCGTGGTGGTGGGGGACTCACGACTTGCGGATAGGCGCCTGGTCCAGCTGGTTGGCCTCGTCCTGCTCCAGCAGCAGGCGTAGGTAGTAGTCGCCGATCTGGATCTCCTCCTGCAGACAGTGGTACTGCACCTGGCGACGACGACAGCGCGCTCCCGTCAGAAGAGCACGTGACTGGACGGACCCTCCGATGGTCAGCACTATCGCGCCCGTCAGAGGAGCGCGTGACTGGACGGACCTTCCGATGGTCAGCACTGCCGCGCCCGTCAGAGGAGCACGTGACTGGACGGACCTTCCGATGGTCAGCACTATCGCGCCCGTCAGAAGAGCACGTGACTGAACGGACCCTCCGATGGTCAGCACTATCGCGCCCGTCAGAAGAGCATGTGACTGGACGGACCCTCCGATGGTCAGCACGGCCGCGTCCGTCAGTAGAGCACGTGACTGGACAGACCTTCCGATGGTCAGCACTGCCGCGTCCGTCAGAAGAGCACGTGACTGGACAGACCTTCCGATGGTCAGCACTGCCGCGCCCGTCAGAAGAGCACGTGACTGGACAGACCTTCCGATGGTCAGCACTACCGCGTCCGTCAGAAGAGCACGTGACTGAACGGACCTTCCGATGGTCAGCACTGCCGCGCCCGTAAGAAGAGCACGTGACTGGACAGACCCTCCGATAGTCAGCACTGCCGCGCCCGTCAGAAGAGCACGTGACTGGACAGACCTTCCGATGGTCAGCACTACCGCGTCCGTCAGAAGAGAACGTGACTGAACGGACCTTCCGATGGTCAGCACTGCCGCGCCTGTCAGAAGAGCACGTGACTGGACAGACCTTCCGATGGTCAGCACTACCGCGTCCGTCAGAAGAGAACGTGACTGAACGGACCTTCCGATGGTCAGCACTATCGCGCCCGTCAGAGGAGCGCGTGACTGGACGGACCTTCCGATGGTCAGCACTGCCGCGCCCGTCAGAGGAGCACGTGACTGGACGGACCTTCCGATGGTCAGCACTATCGCGCCCGTCAGAAGAGCACGTGACTGAACGGACCCTCCGATGGTCAGCACTGCCGCGCCCGTCAGAAGAGCACGCGACCGGACGGACCTTCCGACGGCCAGCACTGCCGCCAACAAGACACCCTTTCCTAGAGTTGTTCCCATTTTGTGACTATTTTGATTACTGTACCGGCGGATATTGTGCGTGCGTATACGTAAAAAAGCGATGCGAAGTCAGAATACATTCAGTAAACCTTCAGACTGGGAACATCTCCCTATTTAGGGTGCTCGACACACCAACCGACGACAAATGTCGATTTTGCCATTTACATTTCGCTGCTGAGCGATTTATTGGCGAAAGGAAACATATATTTTGGGGACGGTGAGGACGATTCTGGCCCTGTGAGAGCAACAGTTCATTACTGACGGCCCCGTAAATTCGTGGAGGTAACACATTGGGGCTAGCCAGTGCAGGATCATTGCAATGTGCCACAGATCCTGTCACACACAAACGAGCAAAAATAAACGTGCGGCAACGTAGTTTCCATTACGTTCCGCAGATTACCTGCAAGGATACACTCACTTTGCATCCCCGCTCAGTTCCTGTGCCCAACACACAACAGGCCCTTTTGTGTTTCCCTGGCCGCTCACCACGTCAACAGTGTACTGGAGCCGCAGGCCACACCCGAGGTAACCATCTCCAAGACCTCTGAGCGGCCGTGCGCCCGGCGTAACCTGTCGCTCCGCCCGGCAAGAGCGGCCTGCGGAGCCGGCGCTCACCTCGAACTCCGTGTGGTTCCACGAGATGTCGACACCGCCGCCCAAGTCACGGTCGGTGCCGAAGTTGCGCATCTCGTTCTCCAGCGCCTCGCGCAGTTCCTCCCGCGTCTGTTGGGCCGGGCGCGGGGGCACACGGGTCAGCGGCTGCCGGGCCCGGACCTGCCGCTGGAGCGCCACTCGCGAGCACGGGCCCACATTTGGAACGTGACACCGGACACCGCTCACTGGTGCAGGCGCATCAACGCCCGAAACGTTGCCAACGAAATACAAAAAGGTGTCCGGCAAGTCCGGCGGGAGTCCCGATAGATTCGCTGGACTGTCGGCACGAGAGGAGAAAAAGGCTCATGTGTACGAACTGACACATGAAGCATGCGAGGCGCCGAACCGCGCATGTCATACTCTCCCACGCCGTGCCTCGAGTTCGAGCTCGCCGTCACAGGGGATCTCGTCCTGCCCCTTCTCCCACCCTCCCACCCCGCCCACCACCACCCCCGCTGACCACTGCCCCGTGCGCGCCCGTCACACCTTGAAGTTCCAGATGAGGTGCGGCAGCGCGTGGTCGCGGCCGAACTGGTAGTAGAAGAGGCGCCAGTTCTTCTCAGACTTGACGCGCTCGCGGCGCCGGCGCAGCACCACCGGCCGCTCGCGCACCCGCTCCTCGGCCGTCTTCTCGTAGCCCATGCGCGTGCGCCAGTGCTGCAGCGCCACCTGGAGCGGGCGGCAGGCGGCGCCACTCACCACACACATGCGTCACCCCAGCAGTCTGGCGGGCCACGCCTGCTGGCGCCAGCACGTGTCCACTCCAGCGATCATGGAGCCCAGTCACGCCAGAGGCAGCCCAACCCGACCTTGCCATTCCCGATCGATCCCGGCACATAGATTAGATTCTCGACTCGCTTCCGATAGATTCAGACATGCATCTCCTGACTCTGTTGATCAGTGCCACCACGCTGACGCAAAGGCGCGCACCACAGGGAACTGGCCAGCTCAACGCACGCGCTTTGCCGAACATCCGCATGCCGTCACGGGAGCAGGAATTCAATATCGGGATTTTAGTCCTGTAGGCTATAGCCTGCGGCGAATGGGAGCCAAATGTATAGGTGAGGAAGACTGGCCGATGTCACAAAGCGCCAATCGGCGCCCCGGTGTTTTCAATATCCACAAAACCTATCCTAAACCAAATTCAGTTCACATGTTCCTTGATATACATATATCGAAAAATTAATCGACTTGATCTCATCTCTCAGGAACCGGACACTGATAATCAGGAGCAAACAGCGATGCACTCATTAGTGACTGCTTATAAGCGATAGCCTCCAACAAACAACAGAATACAAGCCATTAAAATCACATGAAGATTTAACACCCAGCACGTCAAATCTACTCATCAGTTTCAACACGGCATACCCGCACCATCCGGTCATAATCTTCAAGCACAGGTTTCCTCATCGCAAAAAGTTTGAAAACACCACAGCTGCCAGCATTGTCGGCTCTCCGCACAGGCAATCCTCCAGCACGGGCCGCCTCACCTCGACGTGCTTCTCGACGAACTTCTCGGCGGATCGCAGCTGCTGGTTGATGGCGCGCAGGTGCGGGTTCAGCGGCCGGCCCGTCTGCTCGTTGGCCAGCTGCAGGTTGTCGCGCGTGTTGAGGCGCTCCACGTCGTCGGCCGGCACGGCCTCGTCCGAGTCCAGGAACGACAGTAGGCCAGGCGGCTGGCAAGCGTCGCAGCGGCGGGTCAGCACACGCCGGGGCGGGGTCAGGCGCCAGACGGGCGACAAGGCGGCCGGGGTGCGCGGTCGCCAAAGACAGGCGAAAACACGTCCAACCACCTCAACACGACTACGCACGCTTCCCGGTCTTTCTTGCACATCAAGTGTATACCTATGATTTGGATACTATGTGATGAGATGTACTCGAACATGCAATCACACAAGTTCTGTTACACAACCACACATGATAAATAAAGCCCCAGATTCTAGCGTAGCCTATTCACGACATTTTACGACGATGACGATTCGCAAAAAATCAAAAGAACTCTCACAAAACAGCAAATGCCACATCACAAAATAGCCAAATGCGCCCGGGCTTTTTGTATCAACAGGCATTTCTCAGCAAGACTCGTGCTCAGGCGAGCTCTCTCAGCGCCCGGCGGCGGCCAACTGACCACGGTACGCGCCAGCAGGTCGGAGGCCGTCTGGTGTCCGGTGCACCAGAGCGTGATCAGCTGGCGGCTCAGCTGGCGGTGCGTCAGCAGCCGTCCGTCGGCCGACTGCGTGAACAGGGCCGTGTGCAGGTGTCGCGGCAGCGCGCCCTCCGCCAGCGCCAGGTCCTGCCGGCCGACGGCGCAGCGTCATCCGGCTGCCACCCGCGCTGCGAAGCCGGGCCCGCGCGCCGCGCGGCCGCCGCCACCCAGCCCACAAACAGATGGCCCCTCGGCCAGCACGCGCCGGCCGAGTGGACGCACGGCGACAGCATTACAGCATGAAATACAGCATACAGTGCCCAGCAGTGCCTGAGCATCAAACAGCGTCGACCGAGAGACGCTGCGCCATGCTTCGGCCGCTGCCTCAGACCCGGTGCTCGTCAGCACCGCACGCGGCGCAGTCGCCGCCGACTCCGCCGGCCGGCGGGCTGTCCGTACCTCCACCCGCAACGAGCCCTGTACCGAGGCCTGCATCTCGGCCCGCCCCGCGCGCGTACCGCCTTCCGCGCCACGCCCGGCGCCCGCGGTGCGTACCTGCATGCGCTCGGCGGTGGCGGCGTCGCCCTCGCCGATGATGGCGCGCATCACCAGGCCGGCGCCCTTCACGATCGCCAGCGACGGGTGCTGGAACAGGGCGGCTCACTGAGGGACGCCGCACCGGAGCCCGCACGGCGCACGCCCGCCCACAGAGGAGGCTGCCTGCCGCGGTAACACTCAGCTGTCACGCGTGAACACGCTGTGATTGGGACGTGACGCTGCGGCTATGTACAAGGCGCGTTTCTTTTCTAAAGGCGTGCGACGCATGATTCCCGCCGCGCTCTCGCCAGCCACTGGCGACTATGTGGTGGTGCCGGCACCCAGACCACAGTCTCAGTCGGGAATCGAAGCCGGGTCTTCAGTGCGTAAGCCCCAAGCTCTCGTTGCGCTATAACTAATCCCTGTTACTGCGATATTACCCTACATGCGGAACCTTCGAATCACGTCTGGATTGCCCTCAGCGGCAGACTGCGCGGACCCCCTGCCCGGACCGCCTTCCACCGCCGCCGGTGCAGCACCTCACCAGGAAGAGCCGGAAGAGCGCGCGCCCACGGCCGGCCACCAGCTCCAGCAGGCTGTCGAACTGGGCGCCGTCGGTGGTCTCGCTGTACGGCGCGCACAGGCCGTACGTCAGGAAGTCGAGGAAGGCCGACACCACCAGCGCGCCGGTGCCTTGACGCTGCGAGCCGGCCGGGTCACGTGAGATGGCATCGGATCAGGTCAGGCCAGGTCAGGCGCGGGAAGCACGGCTCGTGCGAGCCACACTGAATATCGATACCGACCTCCGCCGATGAGACAGGCCCTGCACTCCACACGGGCACTTATGCTAACCGAATGATGACAACCGCTGCACCGTCAGGCGCAGTCCACTCACGGCCAATTTTGCCCGCGAACATCGACTCGGGGCCTGCCCACGACTATCTAACCACCGACTCAGAGTCTCCCCACGATCATCAACCCAGAGTCATGCTTTACGCCCGCGTGGCAGCCGCCCAGACGCACCACGTGAGCAGACCACACGTCCAGCAGCTTCTCCAGGAAGACCTTGGAGCTGAGCAGGCTGGTCTTGTTCAGCTGCTCCTGCTTCAGGTCGTAGTCGGCGTGCATCGGCTGCAGCAGGGCGGCCAGCATGTCCAGCGCCGCGTGTGTCACAGCGTCACTATCCCGCTTCAGGGCCCGCACCACCTTCAGACCGATCTGCTCCCGGAACCTGCCAAGGTCAGGTCAGGTCACTTCCCTGCTCCAGGATCCCACCACCTTCAGACCGATCTGCTCCCGGAACCTGCCAAGGTCAGGTCAGGTCACTGCCCCGCTTCAGGGCCCGCACCACCTTCAGGCCGATCTGCTCACGGAACCTGCCAAGGTCAGGTCAGGTCACTTCCCTGCTCCAGGATCCCATCACCTTCAGGCCGATCTGCTCACGGAATCTGCCAAGGTCAGGTCAGGTCACTGCCCCGCTTCAGGGCCCGCACCACCTTCAGGCCCATCTGCTCCCGGAATCTGCCAAGGTTAGGTCAGGTCACTGCCCCGCTTCAGGGCCCGCACCACCTTCAGACCGATCCGCTTCAGGGCCAGCATCACCTTCAGGCCGATCCCCCCCCCCCGGAACCTGCCAAGGTCAGGTCAGGTCACTGCCCCGCTTCAGGGCCGGCGCCACCTTCAGGCCGATCCCCTCCCGGAACCAGCCAAGGTCAGGGCAGGTCACTGTCCCGCTTCAGGGCCCGCACCACCTTCAGACCGATCTGCTCACGGAACCTGCCAAGGTCAGGTCAGGTCATTTCCCTGCTCCAGGATCCAACCACCTTCAGGCCGATCTGCTCCCGGAATTTGGCGAGGTCAGGTCAGGTCGCTGTCCCGCTCGCGACAGCGCAGACCACCCAGAACCTTTCACGGGCCAGACCAATGCTCCGCCTCAGGGCATGGACTGCCTTCAGAGGCATCTCCTGACGGGACCCGTTCCGTGGCAGGTCATGTCAGGCTCTGTCCCACCTTCGGACACTCATCACCTCCAGGGACACATATCATCATCGGGGACTGTCTGGTGCCTCGGGAGAATTTCAAAGTCAAGCTCCGGTCGGGTCAGGCCATCGCCCGCTTCAGGCTACGAACGATCTTCAAACGCATCTCACTCGGAGCTTGACAACATGAGCCGGGCCACAACCGCATCAAACCATACGACTTCCTCATTCTGGCGCCCGGACTGACGCTCTGACACACATTCAGAATTGGCGGCCATTCCGACAACCGCGTACAGCCACCCCCGGTCGGGCCAGCCTACATCCGGAGCCCGTCACCGGGGTCTAATCGCGAAGCTGACAGCGCCCGCTTCAAAGGCCCAGCTGGTCCGAGCGACGTCAGCCACACATCAGCCGCCGTCGCCACACACGCGCGCCAGTCGGCACAAGCAGCTGCGGCGCAGCGTCAAGTGTCCCGGACTGCCACAGCTACCTCCTAGCGCGCCGAGGCCACACCGCGCCGCGCCGCTGCCGTCCCTCCCCGTTCCCCTGCACCACCGCGCCGCCCGACTGACCCGGCCAGCTGGGTGAAGGCGGCGAAGCCGGCCTTGCTGGCCACCAGGCGGCGCAGCGCGTGGAACTGGGCCTCGACGACGGCGGCCGGCTGCGCCGTCTGGTCGCCCTCGCGCTGCAGCAGTGACGTCAGCGCCGCGCTGATCAGCCGCTCCTTGTTCTCGGCGAACAGACTCTGCGGCGGAGAGCGGGAGCGCTCGTCAAGGGCGCCTGGCTGCCGGACCGCGCGCGGCCGGGCCCCGCCGCTGGCGGACGGGCCTCGAGAGCGGCGCGCGGCCAGCGGACCGCCCCCCCCCCCCCCTCTCTCCCCCCGGCCGTAGTTCCCGGCACACATTCAACAAGATGGCCACCGGTGTCCATAAGCGTAGCGGCTGCACAAATTCAAACGCCCAGGAGGGACCCGGCGGAGAGCACCACGGCTGCTGAACGACCTCCGGCCGCCGGCGTCTGCGAGCGGACGACGCCCGGCACGGTCGCCGCCTCACCTCCCCCGTCACGGCGTGGATGAGGCCGCTGTACGAGACGTTGGCGTTGAACCTGGCGACGGCCTCGCTGACGCTCCAGGACGGCGGCGGCTGGTGCAACAGCCTGAAACACGAGCACGGCCTGAGGGGCACGGCGGCGGCGGCGGGCGGCTGTGCTGCCGCATCACGCCAGCCCCGAGGCGACACCGACAGTCCGCGGTGGGATCGCGGACGGACTGGAGCGGCGGCGACATCCGGCACCACAGACACAGCCAATGCGCGCACGGCCGCGGCGCAGGCGAGCAGCGACCTGGAACAGGGCCCCGGACGAGAAAAGCCGTCCTACCAAATCGCCCATGGTCGGAGGCAGGAGCAGCAGCCAGCACGGCGGGAGCATACACCGCCACACGGCTGGAGACGGCAGAGCCACGCGGGTCGGCACGGCGGCGAATTAGAGGCAAGAGCGCAGAACGGTACGACACGAACGCAAGAGCGCTCAGGTAAGAGCGCCAATCACTGGGGCGAGGAGTCCGGCGGAAGTGGGGCTGTAGGGGACAGATGCACAGTAGTTCAATGGAAGGACCGCCCGCGCGCCTAGCACACACAACGAAGCCTGCAGGGCGAGCAGAATGGCCGAAAATACACGCTAGGATAACCAGCAGCAAGCGCTCGCCACCCACCACCCGCACAAAGCATTCGTCATGGGACAGCATTTCCATAAAATAAACAGGGTCCGCCTATCGCTGCATAAAGTGAACCATCATGTGAATTCCACGACTGCAGCATGGTAAACAGACGCCATTCTCCGGTAGGCAGCCGAGGCATCTTGTAGCGTAAAAACCGCAATAGTCATGGTCGGATGCAAATGTACGGGTGGCCAATGATTGTTAGGCTATTCGCGAACAAAAAGTGTTGAGTTTATAAGATACCCACAACGCTATGGATACATACACACAACGAATACATGGCCAATAATGATTGTTAGGCTATTCGCGAACAAAAAGTGTTGAGCTTATTAAGATATCCACAACGCTATGGATACATATATGTATCCTGTCCCACACACGTAGGGATAGCGCACGCCGACATGCAGAGGCAGGGGTATATCACGTAATTACGGCAAACGGCACAAACGGTAAGCATGGAGGAAATATATGGACGTTCAGCAAATACATTAAGGAAAGGCCGCGTATTGGTGTGGCTGTAGGCCAATGCGCTTAGCACCCTGACACCACGTCCAGCGCGTTCATTTCCAACCACTTATCCCAATGGGCGAAGCACGAGAATGAGGATCTAATCCGTATCTATTCCGCACGTAATTGAGGTCCTTTCGGCAGGGAGAATTGTATGAAAAATGTTATTATAGAACTGCATGATACGACATGCGGCTACATCACATCATCAGACCAACGAATGGTAGGATGCCGGACAACACACAATGCGTCCCACCTGTCGCGCCCGTTGCGCGCCACATTCACAAACACCATCAATCCAGCGTCCAGGCCGCCAATTCACGGCGCCGGCGCCTCGCCATCCGTCAGTCGGCGTGCTCCGTCCCGCAGGCCAGCCCGACTGAGCCCGGTTCGATCGCGTGCTCGCCGGTGGCGGGCGGGCGGGCGCGGGTGGACCGCCTGCTGGGCGGCGTCGACAGCACAGCACGGCCGGGGGCGGTCATGGCGGCTCGGTCGGCGCACGAGGATCAGGTGGCCGACGGCGGCGGGTGGCGCCGCCAGCCGGCGCGGCTGGCCTGGCTGGCGGCGCGGCTCTGCGTCTGGCTGCTGCTGCTGGCGCTGGTGCTGTATCAGTGCGCCGTCCAGGTGACCCTGTACATCTCGCGGCCGGTCGGCGTGTTCCTCTCGACTGAGGAGCAGCTCGTCATCCCGCGCTTCACCGTGTGCCTCAACACACGCAACGCCTCGTACCTGGAGTCGGTGGGGCTGGACGGCGCCGCGACGCCCTCCCACTTCCAGCCGCTCGGCCTGCAGCCCGCGCTCTGGAGCCGCTTCGACTGGCGCGTGCCGCTGGAGGAGGCGTGGCGTCGCACAGCGCCCTCGCTGCACGACACGCTGGTCGAGTGCAACGCCGCCGCCTGCCGGCCGGCGCCCGGCACGCTGGAGACCACGCTTGGCAGCTGGCGGCCCACGTACGAGCTGCACTCCATGTGCTACAGCTTTACGCCAAACAGCTCGGTGGAGTTCGACAAGCAGGGCCTGCTCTGGAGCCGGCAGGGGCCGCGTGTCATCCTGCACGCGCCGCCCAGCCCGGCCGCCGCCGGCGCCGCCTTCGTCGTCCACGTGCACGGGCAGCAGCCGTTCCCCTCGGACAGCACCGTGTTCCACCCGGACAAGCACAGCTACACGCAGGTACCGCTCGGCCGGCGCGTGGACCTGCGCGTGCTGGCCGCCGTGACCGAGCACATCAGCCGGCCGGGCGCCGAGTGTGACCCGACGCCCGGTCACGACCGCTCGCTCTGCCAGGCCCGCTGCGCCTGGCGCAACGCCAGTCGGGCCGCCGGCTGCCGGCTGCCCTACATGCAGCTGGAGGGCGTGCCCGTGTGCGCGTCGCTGGCGGCGCTGCAGCGCACCATGAAGGTCATCCAGAGCATGGTGATCACGGACCTGCTGGACGCGTGCCACTGCCTGCCGCCCTGCCACGAGGAACAGTTCAGGCTGGAGCCGGTGGCGCGCTCCAGCCGCGACGACCAGGCCTTCGTCTACATGCTGTGGGACGGCGCCGTGGACCGGCGGGACGAGCGCATCATCTACACGTTTAACGACCTGGTCTCGGACGTGGGCGGCTCGATCGGCCTCTTCCTGGGCGTGTCGGCCTTCACGCTCTACGGTTGGCTGGAGGCGCTGGTGCGGACGGCCTGGCGGCGCCGCCGGGACGCCGCCGCCGGTCAAGACCGGATGCCATCCAGCGTGGTCATCACAGTGCGCCGGCCGCAGGTCACCCAGTCGGCGCCGGCTACCGGCCCGCGGGCATCCGCCGTCGGCCACAAGTGACGGGGAGGACGCGACCGGGACCGTCGCCGCCGTCGCACCCGTCGCTGGCACGCCACCGGAACCGTCGCCGCCGTTACACCCGTCGCTGGCACGCCACCGGGACCGCCGCCGCCGTCGCACCCGTCGCTGGCACACGCCACCGGGACCAGAGAGCTGGCGCGACACTGCCGCATCACGGCACTCGTTGAAGCTGATCGGTGCCGCTCATCCGGCCAGCGGCCGCCGACTGCACGGACGCCGCGCGCGCTCCCGCACCGCTCACTTCCGTGGCGATCAGCCGCCAGCAGTGTCCACCGCGGCCACGGTCGGCACGCACAGCTGCTTGCTTCAAAAGCGGATGGCACGCGACTTCCGCGCAGCCCCTAGCACATCAAATACCAGCAGAACCCGCTAATGGCGACACGGTAGTCCTCCAGCCAACTCGCGGTCCTGATACTGAGCCGAACAGCCGAGGGGCGTCGGGAGAAGCAGACCAGAACGCGGTCCAACAAGCCAGATTGGCGACGCTGACAGGCTAATTTCATCAGAGTAACTCCAGATATACTTCTTCTTGGCGTTTTGGGTAATACATTAACCTTATCAAGATAGAACCAATAAAATCACTCAGCGGCGTGGGATGAGCGAGGCAGTAGCAGATGTGAGAGCTGAGGTTATGTAAATGACGCAAAACACGAACCTATCGAAGCCAGGGACCATCGGCAACCGGTACCAGCAGCTCCCATGAATGCGTTGGGAAGCAGTACCGTTTACGAGAACCTCCCAGGTCTGCACACATTCATGCAGCATTTGCACGTTAGTTCACAAACAATCTAGCGTGGATTCTACAGCTTCTGACCTATCCTCGAACGACACACAAAGACAGTGTCAAAACAGCTGTATTCATTGCTGAATGTCGTCCACAGCACTTTGTTATATTGTTGCGCCTCGACGAAGCGCTGAGCATGGCACAAAGACGATGGTACAGCTCGTTCTAAACTCTTATTGTCTTCGAGGGAAGGTCATACTCGTAGAGCAACACGCTGCATTAACGTTCCTCGCACAAACAGTGAGAAAGACAAGCATATAAATCGGCTTGAAAAAGGCTCGCCACGAGTCCAGCTACGCTTGCCAATTCATGCAATTGATAACTTACAATGATATACGGCTTCTTAAATTTAACAAAGGCATTGCAAGGGCTCAAATGCTTTGGCTGCATATAAGTTACACTTAACAGAGCTATGCGCCTGCGGAGTTCCCACGACCCAAAGCATATTACTTAGCTCGCAGCGCCATACATTCAAAAACAGTTTCACAAAAGTGGCGCTGGCCACTTCCGGTCGACTATCAGCGATCGCATGGGTCGGAAAGTTTCGAGATTTATTAGCACCTTGTAGCCGCTACATTCGCCTACTTTGCACTCATTTCCCCATCTTCGCCAGCTCTGATTGCTAAGATCCGACCTATTAAAAACGACCACGACAGCTGTGCATAACAGCACGTGACTGCCGGCACGCATCGACTCCTACCTTCGTCTGTACGATCGTCCGTGTTTGTGCCGCGTCAGAGGCCGCTAGCCTCGTGTGACTGCGCCGGGCTGGCGAGACCAGAACTCGGTCTCGAACAGTGTTCTCACCCTCATCGTCGGTTTATGATCCTACGCGTTTGATGTTGATCCATTGGGGGCGGTAAAGATGCAGCGATTTTGCCATGTCACAGGAAGAGCTCGCCTATGCAGACAGTTTCTTTGGGAATTCCACCAATTTCTACAGCACGTTATTTAAAATTTGGACCGCTTCTGGTTGAAAAACACATGCCCCCGCGTGACAGCCGAACCGGACCGAGCTGGGCCGTTCAAGAGCAAAAATGCCTTATCGCTCACGTAAGCTCACTCGGCCGGCGGCCACACTAGTAATGACTTCATGCTCGAGAACGAGATTTCAAATTCAAGGCCATGGCCCATCCGAAAAAAGAAAGTAAAATATATAATTTACTAGCTTCTTTTCGAGCCCAGCAAACACGAACAATTAAATATTGTAGCTTTTGCGCTTTTTATTTGGTCGCAACGCAACTTACTGAAGCGCTGCAACAAGGAAATATCATGCGCTCGTTTCACATTGGGCCCAGATTCGGGCTTAGACTTTCCAGAATTACCTCAACGCAAAAATACGAAAGTTGTTACTAATACGACTCCTGATTATCGTTTCGATACATGCATGTTGCCGAAATATCAACGCACCTGTCTGCCCATTCTCCTAGTTTTCTCTGCGAGGAAAAAGGCTATCACTACTGTCCAATCAGTGCAAAAATAAAACGCATTGCAAGAACAAACTAGACACTAAGTAGATAAGGAGGGTGCACCCAACTGATCACATGCTTAGCTCGAATGCAACTGTAGTGGCAGGCTCAGTCTCTGCACCCTTACACTGAAAACGCTGTAAATAAAACCAAGTTTGCCTTTATCTCTTGCCTTGCATTGCATTCCCTTTGCGGTTAAACATTGTCGGTAAAAACACAACAAAAAGAAAACAAGAACTTACAAGCAGAGCCCTTCGTCCCTACTTCCTATGCTCACCCATCACTACTACGTACTCATGCCTTCCTCGTATATTGCGAAAAATGCAGTGTTCTCAGGACTACGATGCAAAATATAACTAGGTCATAAATAACAAAACTATAGCCTTCTTGTTGAAGGTCACCTACTTACAAAACCATGATTGAAACTACTCTGAAAATACCACAACCCCCCCCCCCCCCCCACAAAACAGAAGTCTAAAAAGAAGCCCTTCTGACATCATTTTTCTTGAAAGCACGTTGCTACATGCTGTTTATGCCCGTCGCCTAGCGCGCGCCAATACTGCGTGCCAATGGGCGGTCCATGTCCCCTGCAGTACTCTTGCGTGGTATTTGAGGCAGACCTATCCTACGCATATGTGGCTTCGGATACTGACATTACGATGCCCACACTGCAGTGCTCGAAACACTATCTAGTTCCCGTCGGACCTTGATAATCTATGTCTATGTATGACCGGCCGCCAACGGACATCTAGACCGGGACTTTAACACAGAGGAATTCCTGAGCCTGTGCAGATGTGCAACAGCTCGGCCCACTGTCTAGCATTTGCAGAACGTGCGAAGACGCTCAGGATGCCCACAGGACTCAAAGCACGCCCACGAGACTCAAAGGACGCCCACGAGACTCAAATGAGGCTCATGAGACTCAAAGGACGCTCACGCGACTCAAAGGATGCTCGCGCGACTCAAAGGACGCTCATGTACCCAGTGGTCGAAGTTCCGACCTTGCAAAGTTTCACCCGACAGACCATGACGTCATCGCGGCATCTTTTAATTTCTCGCAAATGGTAGCCCTCCATCACGGCCTGGCATTTGCAAACACCACATAGACCAGCTGACCTCATAACCGTGACAGCGAATTTGCCCACGATCGAGCCATGGAACGACCCCAGCTGCCTGCTCACCATTAGAATGATACTGAATTTCAGGGGTGCTTCTGAACACCGGGCCCGGGTCTGCCATTGTCGGCGTATCCAGGACGTCGCCACGTCTCAGCCCACGCGCAATGTTCCAGTCCACTCACAACGTCTGCGACTCGCTTCCTGACAACCGGCAGCAGACACCGCGTCTTCGCAGCAGACACTGCGTATTCGCACAACACACAACCATCCGCAGTACGGCGCCACGCAGCCCAGCCGTGCAGGCCACCGCCTCACAGCCCGCGCCGCGCCCAATCCCAGCGCCCCCATCCCCCTCCCCACGGCCGTGCCGGCGGTCGGCCGGTCAGCCACGCCTCCTCTCGACGCCCGCTGGCGACGGCCGCCCACTCACTTGAGGTGCATCGACTCGACCTCCTGCTCGACGGCGGTGAACAGCGGCGCCAGCCGGTGGCCGCGCGGCGTTGGTGTCGAGCGTACATGTACGTCCACGTTGCCGGCCGCCCGCACGCTGTCCAGGAGAGACGCCAGCAGCGAGTCCCTGTCGGCCGGCCGAGGTCACAGTCAGACGGACGCACGGGGCCAGCGAGGCCCTCTGACGTATCATGCACGGCCACAGTGCCGCGCCTTGGCGCAGGGGCTTCGCGGCTCCGGCGGTCACTTGCACCGAACTCCCGCCCTCCCCTGCCTGACGCTCAACTGGCCGTGCCCCGGCTCCGGTGGTCACTCGCACCGAACTCCCGCCCTCCCCTGCCTGACGCTCAACTGGCCGTGCCCCGGCTCCGGCGGTCACTCGCACCGAACTCCCGCCCTCCCCTGCCTGACGCTCAGCTGACCGTGGCGCGGCTCCCGCGGTCACTCGCACCGAACTCCCGCCCTCCCCTGCCTGACGCTCAACTGGCCGTGCCCCGGCTCCGGCGGTCACTCGCACCGAACTCCCGCCCTCCCCTGCCTGACGCTCAACTGGCCGTGGCGCGGCTCCGGCGGCCATTCGCACCGAACTCCCGCCCTCCCCTGCCTGACGCTCAGCTGGCCGTGGCGCGGCTCCGGCGGCCATTCGCATCGAACTCCCGCCCTCCCCTGCCTGACGCTCAGCTAGCCGCGGCGCGGCTCCGGCGGCTACTCGCACCGAACTCCCGCCCTCCCCTGCCTGACGCTCAACTGGCCGTGGCGCGGCTCCGGCGGCCACTCGCACCGAACTCCCGCCCTCCCCTGCCTGACGCTCAACTGGCCGTGCCCCGGCTCCGGCGGTCACTCGCACCGAACTCCCGCCCTCCCCTGCCTGACGCTCAGCTGGCCGTGGCGCGGCTCCCGCGGTCACTCGCACCGAGCTCCCGCCCTCCCCTGGCTGACGCTCAGCTGGCCGTGGCGCGGCTCCGGCGGCTACTCGCACCGAACTCCCGCCCTCCCCTGCCTGACGCTCAACGGGCCGCGGCGCGTTCCCGGCTGTCAATACCATGGGTCGTGCAGAGCCCGACATCCCGCCCAATCCGCGTCCGCGTGCCCAGACAGTGCGCACATAACGCGCTGGCACACACACTGTGTCGGCGATTCCCCTCTGTCGTATTGCCGCCGGCAGCAGCCTCCGACCTGTGTCCCCCCACTGCTCTTTTACACCACGACTACCAGTGGACGGGTGGCATTTCCGTTTCTGTTCCTGGCCGGCGTTGTCCCTGGTACAGTTCCGTCCCTGGCCGTTTTTCCCCTTCACCTCGGCATTCCACTTGACCGTCCACCTGGCGAGAGTCTCTGAAGCTGGATATTTCCACGCCAGTGGCCCCTCCCGTCTACACCTCACTGCAAGCCAGCAAGTAGTTCCGTTCCTGAATCACTCCTTTATCTGTTCCCCGACCACATGCCCACATATCACCCGCCGGGCACCCTCACCCCGGGCACCACCTCACCCGCCGGACACCCTTCCCCCGGACACCACCTCATCTGCCGGACACCCTCGAACCGGGCACCACCCGCCCGCCGGGCGCCCTCACCCCGGGCACCACCTCATCCGCCGGACATCCTCGAACCGGGCATCACCCGCCCGCCGGGCGCCCTCACTCCGGGCACCACCTCACCCGCCGGACATCCTCGAACCGGGCACCACCTCATCCGCCGGACATCCTCGAACCGGGCATCACCCGCCCGCCGGGCGCCCTCACCCCGGGCACCACCTCACCCGCCGGACACCCTCACCCCGGGCACCACCTCACCCGCCGGACATCCTCACCCCGGGCACCATCTCACCCGCCGGACATCCTCGAACCGGGCACCACCCGCCCGCCGGGCGCCCTCACCCCGGGCACCATCTCACCCGCCGGACATCCTCACCCCGGGCACCACCTCACCCGCCGGACATCCTCGAACCGGGCACCACCCGCCCGCCGGGCGCCCTCACCCCGGGAACAACCCCACTCGACGAACACCATCAAACCGGGCACCACCTCTCTGGCGCCCCGTCAGCCGCCGCCCCACCCTCACCCGGCATCACCTCCCCCACCGGCGCACCCTCACCTCGGGCACCAGCTCACCTGTCGGTCGACAGGTAGCCGCGGACCTGGCCGTCGTTGTACTCGACGGCGAACGTCTGGCCGCTGTCCTGGTGGCGCACCAGCGCGAACACGTGGCTCAGCGGCCGGAGCGTGCAGACGGCGTAGCTGGCCGGGTCGCGCTCCAGCAGGCACGTCTCGGAGAGGCAGAGCGTGCGCCGCACCGGCTCCCGGTGGCGTGGCGACGTCTTGTGCACCGAAAACTCGGCCATCGACGTCAGGTGCTCGTCCGCGCTGCCGGCGGCCCGGCGTCAGCGTGGCAGGCGGCGCGCCGGTACCCGGGCGCGGGTCACGGCGTCAGGGATAGGCGTCAGTGTCGGGCGGCGCGCCGGTACCCGGGCGCGGGTCACGGCGTCAGGGATAGGTGTCAGTGGCAGGCGGCGCGCCGGTACCCGGGCGCGGGTCACGGCGTCAGGGATAGGTGTCAGTGTCGGGCGGCGCGCCGGTACCCGGGCGCGGGTCACGGCGTCAGGGATAGGTGTCAGTGTCAGGCGGCGCGCCGGTACCCGGGCGCGGGTCACGGCGTCAGGGATAGGTGTCAGCGTCGGGCGGCGCGCCGGTACCCGGGCGCGGGTCACGGCGTCAGGGATAGGTGTCAGTGGCAGGCGGCGCGCCGGTACCCGGGCGCGGGTCACGGCGTCAGGGATAGGTGTCAGTGTCGGGCGGCGCGCCGGTACCCGGGCGCGGTCACGGCATCAGGGATAGGTGTCAGTGCCAGGCGGCGCGCCGGTACCCAGGCGCGTGTCACGGCGTCAGGGATAGGTGTCAGTGTCGGGCGGCGCGCCGGTACCCGGGCGCGGTCACGGCATCAGGGATAGGTGTCAGTGTCGGGCGGCGCGCCGGTACCCGGGCGCGGTCACGGCATCAGGGATAGGTGTCAGTGTCGGGCGGCGCGCCGGTACCCGGGCGCGGGTCACGGCGTCAGGGATAGGTGTCAGTGTCGGGCGGCGCGCCGGTACCCGGGCGCGTGTCGCGCCGTCAGGGATAGGTGTCAGTGTCGGGCGGCGCGCCGGTACCCGGGCGCGGGTCACGGCGTCAGGGATAGGTGTCAGTGCCAGGCGGCGCGCCGGTACCCAGGCGCGTGTCACGGCGTCAGGGATAGGTGTCAGTGTCAGGCGGCGCCGGTACCCGGGCGCGTGTCACGGCGTCAGGGATAGGTGTCAGTGCCAGGCGGCGCGCCGGTACCCGGGCGCGGGTCACGGCGTTAGGGATAGGTGTCAGTGTCGGGCGGCGCGCCGGTACCCGGGCGCGTGTCACGGCGTCAGGGATAGGTGTCAGTGCCAGGCGGCGCGCCGGTACCCAGGCGCGTGTCACGGCGTCAGGGATAGGTGTCAGTGTCAGGGAGGGGTCTCGGTGGCGCGGAGCGATGCCGGAGCGTCGGACGAAGCGTCGGTGTCCGCTGAGGTGTCAGTGTAAGGGGAGCGGGTACGCCGACTGTCGAGAGGAGCATCCGAGTGTCGAGAAGCGGCAGTGTCTGGGAGCGGTGCCATTGTCAGACGAAGTGTCGAACGGCCATCGTGACGTCGGGCGAAGTTTCCGGGTGTCGGGCGGAGTGTGTCGGACGATGCCACAGAGCACCGGGCGGAGTACCGGAGCGTCAGGCGGAGTGTCGGAGTGTCCGGCGGCACGCCAACCGTCAAGTGCGCGAAGAGCGTCGCACGAGGAACTGTTCACGCGTGCTCGGCGGGCGGCCGGCAGTCTGCCGATCGACCTGTCCCTACAAACCGCCCGCGACAGGTGGTCCGGTCAGGCGGGCCGGCGGCTACGATGCCGTAATTGGCGGCGGCGCCCCCCGGCAGCACCGGGGCACGGGGTTCGTCACGGCCTGCTCCGCCGACGCGCGCCGACCGACGGGCGGACACGGGCTTTCCATGCAGAGCACATTCCTGCCACAATCACATCTGCCCGTGCACTAAGAGGGACTGGGAGTGGCAGATGTGGCACGGTCCCTGTGATTATACAATATGCGGATGGCTAAAGTGACTAAATGACTAAATACCAGGTTAACAAGGCACAATGATCTACCAGGGAGCCCTTCGCATGTCTCCGACAACAAGCAAAAGAACGCGTGAGTAACACGTTGCGATAAATGAGATCGAAGCACAGTCCTGTCCGTTTACACTAGATTCAGCACGAAAAGCCAACATACAAGCCAGCTGCTTGCTTACCTAAATGATCAGAAAAACCTGCGCCGCATGTGCCACTATTCACCTAATTTGCCATTTTGTCCGTTCTCCACACATCGGAAGACACAGTAACGCACATCCGCTTCAGCAGCGCGAAGCCGGCCGAGACGAGCGCGTAGCGCCGCCTGAGGTCCGCACCTGTAGTGTCCTAGCCGGTGTTCGGTGAAGTAGCCGAGCGTGATGGGCTCCTTGCGGACGGAGACGGCCACGCCCACGCACCGCTGCGCCTTGTCGGCCATCAGCCGCAGTATCATGTCCCGCTTCTCCGAGGCGAACAGGTGCTGCCGGCCGGCGAGAGGGGGCGGGTCAGGCGCGACCCCGTGGCATAAACCCGAGGCTGCCCGGACACGTCCACGCGGCCTCTCAGCCGGCCAATGACCGCGACGCGCGCCAGTGACGTCACCACAGCAGCATCCTACCTTGTAGCACGGCTATACCAGTGTGGCGAAGACGTCGGACAGTTACATCCGCAGCGTCCGTCATGTGACAGCAATTGTCCGAATGACGACAGGATCCATTCTGTCACAGCGTCCGCGCAGCGAACACTAACTACTCTCAACGCTTCTGGGGGCATGGTGGGGCGTGACGTCACGCTCCGCAAATGATCCTGCACACTCATGCAGATCTGACCCAGCAGACCCGCCTGCCCCTTCCCCCCCCCCCCCCCCCCACACAGTGCTGCCAGCCGGTCGGGCGCCGCCGGGTGGGCACGCACCATGCGGCCGAACCGTCCACAGATGACCACGAAGCCGCCGGGGTAGTCGGAGACGGGCGCCACCGCCTCCACGTCCTTGTAGTGGTACGAGGCGACGACGGCGCCGGTGGCGGCGTCCAGCTGGTCGAGCGAGCACGGGCCCGCCTCCAGCACGGCCGGCTGACGCGACTCCGACCAGTGGTGCTTGAACGCGTTACATCGCTGCCGGAGACGGGACACGCCGAGCTATCGAAAAGCCCGAGGCGGCTTCACGCGCTGGGTGGCGGTGAAAGCCATCTTCCTCAGCATATCTCATGCGTATCAGAATCCATCAAGCTGTCGTGCTGCACACGTGATCATGACTGGAGCAAGAATGTGCGGCTAGCGCGAATCATGGGCTGGCGTTTACAACTGAGCCTACGAGGAAAGACAGCGGCAAACAGTTACTGCAGACATCTTGAATTTCGCTATCAGGGCGGAAGCTGGCGACACTTGGGAAAACGGGGCTCACCAGACACACTGACCTTATCATTAACACTGCCAACGGATGACGAAAAAACGTCTCACAAAATTAAACGTAAATGTTGCTGCACCACGCGTCCATACCTACCCCCGCATGGTTCGCGACTTGGTCGCGCCCCAAACTGTGCCAAGCGTCCTAATTGGAATTCTGTGCACCATACATGCAGGCCGATAGCAGCCATGCCCACAAGCCCGTCTATCCAATTTCCGGGACGCAGTCACTGGGCGCCAGCCAGCCAAGTCACGCCATTACACTTCGATTCATTGACCGCCCACCGCACCCCACCCCTCCCCCCTCCATATCACATGCTGTCCTCTCCCAGTCACCGCCGATGCCCGCCGCCCTCAAAGCACACAACAGGCAGCGGAACAGCACGAGCCGTGGGCACGCAGCTGAGCCAGCGACAACCCTGAACCACGAGCCCGTCTTCTCCGGCACCCCTCCTCCCCCCCCCCCCCCCCCCCCCCCCCCGTCTCCCCTCCCCGCGCGCGCTGCGCACCTCCCGGACGATGCCGGGGTGGCTCGTCTCGCCCTCGCCCCAGAGCTCGCCCGGCGCCGCTCGTCTGTCCCCCCTCCCCTCCCCCTCTTCCCCAGCGGCGGCCGCTTCCGCGACACCGGCCCCGCCCGCACTCACGAACGCCTCCTCCTGCGGCTCGCCGAAGCCGGCGCGGAACCGGAGCGTCTCCGTGATGAGCTCGGCGCGGTGCTCGCTCGAGAAGCGCATCGTCTCTGTCTTGCGGCCGCCGCCCTTGCGCACCAGGATGGTGAACTCGTGCGGCGAGCCGCCCTTGGCCGCTGGCGCGATGCCCATGAAGTCTTCATACAGCCACTGGTTGGTGGCCTCCATAGAGCTCGGGTTGTAGGTGGACACGCCGGCCGAGCCGACCGAGAAGATGCGCCGGAATCTGTCGCGCGGGAGGGCAGCCCGGTCACCTAATGATCTCACCTCACTACATTGTGGGAGCATACAGATGCTGGACAGCAATGTGCAGCCTGGGCAGGGGTGGGGGTAGGGAGAAAATGGCAGTGCACAGTGCCCACAGCAGGCAAGTCACAAGGGTCGATGGCTGCAGGCCCTTCCAACGTCAATATGTACAAGGAAGTTGAAAAGTAGCGAGTTTAGTTGAAATGACAGAAAGAGTGGCACAAATGATGAACAGCTGCATACTCACTTTCCCTTCCATGAGTGCTTGGTAAGAAAGAAGCAGGCCACATCTTTGTTGTTCTTCAATCGTGGTTTGTCAGCCATATTTTACCCCCTGTGGAACACATGTGTGCTAATGAAACGCAAATGCATGTACTTGCTTATCACCACCATTCAACTAAACAATTATGCCTGAAATATGGCAGAGCAATAAAATGTGGCATGGGTAACATACTAAAATGAAACACATGAATACACTTTTAGATATTTTTACCAAATCAGATAAGAATGAAGGGACAGGTAAGCAAACTTGAACACACTGCAAGAAATATTAGCAATATGCAAGAATTCTTGCAAGACAAAAAATAGCATTGCATCCTGCACCATAAGAAGCTGCATGGCTAACAGGATATCCACCACACAAACACAAACTTACATGGATCACAATTTGCACAAGCAAGACTGGATCTTCACTGAGAGGTGGATGTCTACAGCTCTTTTGTCAATGGTGGTTAAATGAGCTCCACAAGTTTCTGAAAAGAAATGCAAATGATTCATTGACACCCAATTACATGAGTGCAGTGCTTTGCCGCTGGATTTCATTTGCCAGATTAGACAATGGCTGCAAATGCACACTCAGGTTGATGGCAAAACTAACAGCAATTTTATGGAATTGCCCATTGTTTGGCATTTTTTAGGCTTCTTACATTGTTTTGGGAGATAAAATTACTGTTCAACATTGGATATAAGTCAAGTGTATTGAAAAGCAAGCATGAAACCCTGGCCCGAGTGAGGCTATGTAACCAGAGTTTGAACACAAAATGGAAGTCAGCTGAACAGGTTTAAAAGCAGACGCATGAAAGTTGTGATAGTTGAAATGCATCATCATATATGTGTGCCCAGCCCAGTTGAATGGGCTGAATCTCAACACACAATTTTGGCACAATAGATGATCTGCATAATATCATTCATCTGTCATTTTCTTTATAATAAGCCAGTGGCACAGACACTATAAAGGAGACCACTGTGCACACCACATTAATGACATTAGTATTGTCTTTATTTAATATTCCTTAAAAAAGCTGCAACAGAATATAAAGGTTTGAAAAACTCACAACAGTTCTTCAGTCAAAATCCCACAAGTTAATGAGAGCATGACAGAGCCTCAAGCACATTTAAGCAGAGACAGCCCAAGGTGGCTGCTAATGAATGGGAGTCCAAAAGCCCGCAACCTTTTGGGTACAGGGAATGTTCTATGTGAGCTAAATAAGCTGCTAACCATTATACTGAACTAACAAACTGTCTATCATTACTTCATGGCATATGGTGATACTACTGAAAATTAATAACAAAGGTGACAATACCTAATTCCCTGGGTTTATCAGAGTTGAAAAACTGTCAATTGGGACAAACTCTGGGTTTGTCTGGGGAGCACATTTCGAAACCTTTCCAACAGACCCAATGCATTACAAAATTATAGACCACCTTTACCCGTATTATTGACATAAATACTCATGTTAGCATGGCCAAGAATTTGAACAGAATTTGAGAAATGATGAAAAAATCAGATCGGTAATTTTTTACTTGGGTACCTGTATGGCCGACGGAGGGAAGAGCTACGCTAGCTGCAGGGTTTCGAGTATTGTCGTGCGGGGCAAAAGCTGTGAGGTATCAGCTAACATTGTGACGTCACTGAAAATGGTTTTGCATCGATCGGGACCGGGGTTCTTTCGGGCCGACTGAAGGCTATAAGGCTTTTGCTTGTGATATGATGTCACTGGTATTCGGCTGGGTATGTGACGTCACCGGTCGTGAGTATGTAAGGCTCTTTTGGGTCCACTGAATGCCGTAATGCATCAGCTGGCCATGTGTCGTCACTGGTATTCGATTGAACATCAGGCGCGGCCGGCCTCGTCCCATCTTTACTTTTCGTACCTGTCTGCTGCAAGCATTTGCGTGCCGCATAAAGGTTTGACCGAATTACCCCAATGTGTGACGTCCCTAATCATCACTTCATACGAGTGCACTTAGGCCCCACGACCACGGTGTGTCGTGGTCCGCGAAGTATCACCGGATAGCGTGACGTCACTGGTATTCGAATAAATACTGGGCGCAACAGGCCGTGCTTCATTTTTACCTTTGTACTTGTCTACTGCAAGCATTGGCGTGCTGGATGAAAGCTGCCGAACCACCTGAGTGTGTGACATCACTGGCCATGAGTTCCAACGGTGCTTTTCGGCCAACTGAAGACCACAAGGTGTCAGCTAGCGACGTCACTGCTATACGACTGTAAGACGTCAATGGCCGTGGGTTTCCACGGGCCCTATAGGACCGACGAAATGCCGTTAGGCATCAGCTGGCGATATGACGTCACTGGTATTTGGCTGTACATCAGGCAACAGGTCATGCTCCATTTATACCTTTCGTACATGTCTGCTGCAAGTATTGGCGGATTTTTTGTGCGGCCAACTAAAGACCATAAAGCATCAGCTAACGATGTGACGTCGCTGGCACTCGACTGTGCGTGTCGCTGGTCATGAGGTTTTACGGCCTCTTTTGGGCCGACGAAAGGTCATACGGCAATGACTGAAGATGTGACGTCACTGGTATTCGAATGAACTTCGGGCGCGACAGACCATGTTCCACCTTTATCTTTGGTACCTGTCCATTGCAAGCATTCCCGTGGAAGGCTCTGCCAAATTACCTGAGTGTGTACGTCACTGACCATTAATTTGCACACTCTTTTGAGCCTACTATAGGCCACAAGGCATCAGCTGACGATATGATGTCACTGGGTTTCGACTAGACACCATGCGCGACAGGCCATGCTCCATCTAAGCCATGTTTCGTCTGTACCTTTCGCACCTATCTACTGCAAGTATTCGCGCGACACAGAGGCTCTGCCGAATTACCTGAGCGTGTGGTGTAACTAGTTATGGGTTAACTCGGGTTTACTCTGGCTGAATGAAGGACATCAAGCATCAGCTGACGATATGACGTCACTGGTATTCGACTAAACTCCAGGCGCGACAGGCCATGTTCCATCTTTACCTTTCGTACCTGTCTCTTGGAAGTATGGGCGTGCTGAATGAGGGCTCTGTCGAGTCTCCTGAGTAAGTAACGTCACTGGTCAAGAGCTTTTTACGGGACCTTTTGTACCCCCAAACGGTATAATGCATCAGCTGATGATATGACGTCACTGGTGTCCGACTTAACATCAGGCGCGACAGGCCATGTTCTATCTTTACCTTTCGTACCCGTCTATTACAAGTATTGACGTGCTGAATGGAGGCTCTGTCGAGTCTCCTGGGTGTGTAACGTTACTGGTCATGAGTTTTTTCTGGCTCCTTGGAACCCTCTATAGGGAAAAATGCATCAGTTGACGACATGATGTCAGTGGTGTTCGACTTAACATGAGGCGTAACAGGTCATGTTCCATCTTTGCCTTTCGTACCTGTAAAGTATTGGTGCGTTAAATGATGGCTCTGCCGAGTCACCTGAGTGTGCGACGTCACTGGTCATGAATTTTTACCAACTATTTTTGGCTGAGCGAAAGCCATAAGGCATCAGCTAACGAAATGACGTCACTGGATTTCCACTGAGTGTGTGACGTCACTGGTCATGAGCTTTTACGGGCCTTTTTTGGCCGAGTTCAGGTCATTAGGTATCAGACAACGTTATGGCGTCACTTGTATTCGAATTAACATCAGTTGCAATAAGCCATGTTTCATCTTTACCTTTCGCACCTGCCTACTGCAAGTATTCGTGCGCTACAAAAAGGCTCTGTCGATTCGCCTGAGCGTGTGGTGTAACTGGCCATGAGTTTGTGCAGGTTTACTCGGGCTGACTGACGGACATCAAGCATCAGCTGACGATATGACGTCACTGGTAATCGACTAAACTCCAGACGAATCATCTGAGTGGGTGACGTCGCTGGTCATGACTTCATACGGATTCACTTGGGCCGCCCAAGGCCACAAAGCAACACCTCCCGTGAAGCATCACAGGATGATATGTCGTCACTGTTATTCGACTTAGCATCAGGTCCAACATGCCACGTACTTTCTTTACCTTTTGGACTTGTTTATTAAAGGTACTGACGTGCTGAATGAAGGCTCCGTCGAATCTCCTGAGTGTGTGACGTCACTGGTCACGGGTTTTTTACGGGCTCCTTTGAACCCATTTTAGGTTATAATGCATCAGCTGACATGACGTTACTGGTGCTCGACTAAACATCAGGCGCAACAGGTCATGCTCCATATTTGCCTTTCGTACCTGGCTACTGCAAATATTCGCGTGCTATATGAAGGCTCCGCCGAATCACCCGAGTATGTGACGTCACTGATCATCAGTTGGTAGGAGGTCACTTGGCCACCTACGGCTACGGAGTTCCGCAGCAGAGGTGGGAGATGCACCATAGTTAAGCACACTAATTTTATTGTGCGCACCATTAAGTAACAACTTCAAACGCAACGGGCTGTTTCAACGACTAAAATTTTGAACAAAAGTAAACACAAAACAAAGGTGATCCCAGCCCACAAACCGACGTATATGCAAAGCTATTCCGCCCGACATCACAGGATGCGCCCCTGAGCAGCTACGGTCTGGAATGCCCTGATGGCTAAATAATAAATAAGGGCGCCTAGCGGCCATAAGTCTGGGCCACAGCCCGAATATCAGTGACGTCATATGGTCAGGTGATGCTTGATGTCCTTCAGTCAGCCCGAGTAAGCCCGCGTAAACTCATGACCAGTTACACCACATGCTCAGGTGATTCGGCAGAGCCTTTATGTAGCGCGCGAATACTTGCAGTATGAGGTGCGAAAGGCAAAGATGGAACATGGCCTGTTGCGCCTGAGATTAAGTCAAATACCAGTGATGTCATATCGTCAACTGATGTCTTGTACCCTATAGGTACAAAAAAGCAGCCCGTAAAGAACTCATGACCAGTGACATTACACACTCAGGGGATTTCACAGAGCTTTCCTTAAGCATGTCAATGCTTACAATAGACAGGTACGAAAGGTAAAGACGAACATGGCTTGTCGCGCCTGGTGTTAAGTTGAATACCAGTGACGTCACATCGCCAGATGATGCTTGATGTCCTTCAGTTAGCCCGAGTAAACCCGCGTAAACTCATAACCAGTCGCACCACACGCTCAGGTGATTGGGCAGAGCCTTTATGTGGCGCGCGAATACTTGCAGTAGATAGGTGCGGAAGGTAAAGATGAAACATGACATATTGTATCTGATGCTTAATTGAATACCAGTGACGTCATATCGTTACCTGATGCCTAATGGCCTTAAGTCGGCCCAAAAAGGCGCGGGAAAACTCATGACCAATGGCGTCACACACTTAGTGGATTACCAGTGACGACATATCGTTAGATGATGCCTAATGGCTTTCACTCGGCCAACAATAGCCTGTAAAAACTCATGATGACGCACTCAGGTGATTCGGCAGAGCCATCATTAGGCTCGCCAATACTTTAACAGGTGCGAAACGCAAAGATGGAACATGACATGTTGTGCCTGATGTTAAGTCGAACACCAGTGACATCATATCGTCAACTGAAGCATTATACCATATAGGGGGTTGAAAAGAGCCCATAAGAACTCTTAACCAGTGACATGATATAACACGCGAATGCTTGCAGTAGACAGGTACGAAAGGTAAAGATGGAACATGGCCTGTTGCGCCTGATGTTGAGTCGAATACCAGTGACGTCATATCATCCCGCGATGCTTTACAGGATATGATGCTTTGTTGCATTGGGCTGCCCAAGTGAACCTGTATAAACTCATGACCAGTGACGTCACGCACTCAGATGGTTCAGCATCACCTTGATATAGCACGCGAATGCTTGCAGTAAACAGGTACGAAAGGCAAAGATAGAGCATGGCCTGTTGCGCATGACACCTAGACGAAAACCAGTGACGTCATATGGTCAGCTGATGTGGTATGGCTTACAGTGGGTTCAAAACAGTCTATACAAATTAATGGTTAGTGACGTTACACACTCAGGTAATCCGGCAGACCCTTCCTTCAGCATTCAAATACTTGCAATGGACAGGTACCAAAGGTAAAGATGGAGCATGGCCATGGCCGCCTGAATTGTATTCGGATACCAGTGACGGCACATCTTCAGTTAATGTCGTATGACCTTTCGTCGGCCCAAAAGAGGCCGTAAAATCTGATCACAAGTGACATCACACACAGTCGAATGCCAGTGACGTCACATCATTAGGTTATGCTTTACGGCCCTCAGTTGGCCCCCAAAGATCCATAAAAATGCATAAGATCCATAAAAATGCATGACCAGTGACGTCACACACTCACGTGATTTGGTAGTTTTTATTCATCACGCCAGTGCTTGCAGTAGACAGGTACGAAGCTAAAAATGAACCTTGACCTGTTGCGACCAATATTTAGTCGAATATCACTGACGTCACGATACCCAGTGATATTTCACGGAACATGATACACCGCGGCCGTGGGGCCTAAGTGCACTCGTATCAAGTGATGATTGGTGACGTCACACATTCAGGTGATTCGGTCAAGCTTTTATTCGGCACGCAAATGCTTGCAGCAGACAGGTACAAAAGGTAAAGATGGAATAAGGCCCGTTGCGCCTGATGTTTCATTGAATACCAGCGACGACATATCGTCAGGTGATGCTTTACGGCATTCATTGCACCCAAAAGAGCCCTAAAGCCTCACAACCAGTGACGTCACATATCCAGTCGAATACCAGTGACATCATATCGCTAGCAAATGCCTTGTAGCCTTCAGTCGGCCCAAAAGAACCCCGATCGATGCAAACCCATTTTCAGTGACGTCACTACGTCGGCTGATACCTAACAGCATTTCTCCATCATGGCAGTACAGGAACCCTGCAGCCAGCGTAGCTCTCTCCCCACCGTCGGCAATACAGGTACCCAAGTAAAAAAAAGCCGGTTGCCTGATAAATCTAAAAACTCTAAGGACTCCGTGAGCCCTCAGAAGCACTGAGAATAAAATAGCATGTTACAATACTTTTATATGTGTTTACCCCATCTTTTCAATGTGGACATTTGTATGCATATTATTACCATAAAGCACTTCATAAAAGGAGATGCACATCCCCAGTACTCCCTTGCACATGAAACTGTGTATGGCCTAGGAGGAGCACGAAAGTATTAGCATGCGTCAACACGAACCAAAACAAAGCAGGCAAACCCACTGCTTCCGTCTGTCTACCATCGTGATACAAAACAATAACCTCCGTAGGGAAAGTATACAATGAGCTCTCAAACGCATCATGCATAAATTCTCAATCATTTTACTCGCGTAACACATCGAAATAAAAGTCGCGCCCACGAACATGCACCTGAATTTTAACATGCCGGATACCACATACAGACCCACTGTACCCACCCCCAGAACCGCCTGCGACAGTTACGACGCAGCATCTTGTAAACAAGCATTGTGATTATTTGCTACATGAATGGGGTATGTTGATATGCGAATGGCGTAGATAAATAATTGTGAAATGCATAAGGAAAATCAAATTTTCATCAATCTCATAAGTATATTTTTTTTTAAAAATGCACTTACACAGTTTGCTTAATCTGGTGACAAGAATGGTCTGCAAAGTAACGCAGATGTTTCCAATTATACGCACCAAGCGCTGCCATGAGATATCGTTGTATACGGGATTCGGAGTATCCCCGGTTGGGTGTCGCTCCGTTGAGGGGTTGGATCATTTATCGAGTGTTTTGATCGTAAAACATCTGTTCTCCCCCCAAAGTATTCATCCCAAGTCCCCTGTGTGACATCTGTGATTACAGCGGCAAACCAGGAGGGCGAAGCCTGGTTTCCTGACGTAGCTGGTTCGTGGGAAACTGGGCAAGATACTTTGCCGGGAACAAGTAGTTTGACACTCCATTTGTTTCATATTCACCGCTGCAAGTTTCCATCGTCATGGTATCATTATTTTACAAAATTATGTTTGCTTGTGGTATTTTGTCCCTGCTTCACACAGCATATTCTGCCACTCAGCGTAAGTACCTATTTCCTGATGGTGGCAATTGAGGTGTCATAAGCTTACCTGCTATGTTGAATTCTAGAGGATAGCATTAAATTGTGTGAGTTTATTGACTGACTGGTGTTTAAGATTGTTCTGCAGATAACAGATATTTTTGTTTCTACCCCACTTAGAATTTGTCAGTATTTCTCCATGAGTTGTAATATAGATCAGTAAAATATATTTGTCATTCAAAGGCCTTTATTTAGAGACTGTGTGGCTTGTTAAAAAATGTGAGCATGGTTCACTGCACTTGGCCTGAACAGTAAGTCACCTACTTTCTCTCTGTTGCAGACCGGTCGTACTTGCGGCTGACTGAGCAGGAGTTCACAGCGCTTCCTGCTGATATAATTGTGCAAGGCGTGCTCAGTCTCATCCTCAGCATGTATGCCATACTCTTCATAGCTGGAGATTTCCGGGAGATACGTGCTAATGTCGACCTTCAGGAAAAGTAAGACTGGTGCTTGTTGCACAAGCATGTTCTAAACATTGTCAGCATTGTGTGTTTGTGCTGTGGGTACTTTACAACTTGGTGTGAGCTTTGTGATGGTTTGCATATGTAAGCAAGAATTTACTGGTCTTGAATGCATGCAAAATTACCTGAGCTCATGATAAGAGTGATGCTGTAATCTGGTCCAGTGATGCTGAGTATCTCAGCTATCTCAGTTCTGTGGGCATGGTATACAACTAGCAGTATGAATAAATATGCATATAGCCTACCAGCATAACAGTTATCACCAGTGTGCCAGCAAATTCCAGTGACATAGATCTTGGGTTATACATGTGGCTATAATGCAGCCCTCTTGTTGCAATCAGGGTATGGCCCTATATTAAGGGACAGGGGTAAAGCTTTGGAGGGTAGGGTCTGCATGCTGATGTGTGGATTTTAGTTCAGTGTTTTCTTGTCATCACAGTAGAGACACTCATTATACAGCTTCCAGAATTATCTTTCCACTATGTGGTGTGCTCAACTTTAGTCCTGCATCACATTGCTTCCATTGTCTGTTTCATTCATTGCATGAGTGCACCTCATTTGTGGAATGTGGCTGGCACTGTGCAGTGCCCCCTCCCCTCACACAGCATTGTCTGACGTCGCTGACGTCGCCCGCCTTGCTTCCGGCAGGACGTGGGACACTGTCGGCCACCGGCCGTCCTTCATGGTGTTCTCGCACCGTGGTCGCTGTCTGAGCGCCCACTACCCGGCCGTGGTGGACGACTGACGCGCCGCCGCCGCCGCCGCCGTCGGTCACGTGATGACGGCCGCCGCCGCCCCAGCGCGCCGCGGCCAGACACCGCTGCCTCAAGATGCCCGATTCAGAGGATGGTGCTCGGTCTCCCGGGCCACGGGCGTCCGCGGAGGTGCGTGTGAGAACGGCTCCTCGCATTTACGGCCGTCAGCGTGCAAACTCAGCGACTGAAGCTATCGTGTATTGTCCTCTGATTTGCCCGCCCATCACTTTGATTATCCCATTGCTGGGAGCGTGTCCGTGAAAAGAGCAGACGGTGAGTGTAGATGCCCCGCTCTTTCAAGTTGTATGGATATGAGCGGTTCGAATAATTACCAAGAGTACTTCATGGCATCCGAACGAGGTTTCTGTAGTTTCAGTTCAGATGATAATCACCTGTATCAATACAGCACTGAACTGTGCGTCTACTCTTGTTCGTTTGCACACCACGCAGCCGAGAGGATGGGTGCATGGTTAAACCTCGCCTATGAACTCTATCAGAGCGTCCTCCGAGTCGAATCTAGAGAGCGGGGACCGAACGCCTGCCCGTTCCCCGCCCGGACACACACTGGCACCCGTCCTGCTGGGCCAGCAGCACCATCCCATGCTTGCGTAGCCTGTCCCTGACCTCCGGATCACGGGAGAGGTCGAGCAGCGGCAGCACGACCTTGCGCGGCTCGCCCTCGCTGTTGTCGCCGGTCTGGCCGCCGTCTGCGGGCTCCCTCCCGCGCGGAGGCTCCCCGCCGCGGCGCCGGCTCGTGCGCGCTGACCCCTGACCCGGCCGGGCGGGCGGCTTCGCCGATTGACTGGCGCGGCGGTGCCTGCGCGCCTTCTGCTGCCGGTGCTGCAGCAGCCAGCCGTCCGGCCACTGGTCGAGCGGTGACGTCACGGGAGAGCTGAGCGCGCGCGGCCGCGGCGCCGTCCGCTGGCAGAGCCTCAGCTGGAACACGGCGGTCGCAGTCACCGGAGGCGGTTCGCTGGGGTGGAGCCATGCACGGGATGTCGGGATTGGGCTACCCCAACGGAGCGAAAGCAGCTCACCTGTGTGGCAAGCTCGGAGCCGCAGACGTTTTATCTCGTTTCATAGCGACTCCGAAATATTGACTGACGCAGCTCGCCTCGGAATATCGAGAAGGGCTAGACTGAGTGTCACGCAATTGGGCTAAACGGTTTCTCCAATTGATGCTGAACGGTGCGATGCTGCAAACAGCTTTACATCGTTCATCGTGCTGGTGCTACAGCGAGAGGTACTTCGAGGGACAGCGCTAGTGCGCAGAGGCGCCACCGGCCGCGCCCGGCCGCTGTACCGGGTGTCCGCGCTGGTCATGGGTCGGGTCAAGGTCGGGCGGTGGCGGCAGCGGCGGGCTCCGGTCCACGCTGCGCGCTCTGCTGCGCCGTAGCAGCTGGCGGTACCTGCGGCGTTCGGCGGTGGACGGTCAGCCCGCGGCCACCTCGGGCTCGGCAGCTCGCCAATAACGCACGGCCCGGGGAGACAGAAGCGCGTGATTAGGATGGTTTCACTGGTGGAGTCCTGTCTTCTATCGCAGTTTTACAAGCGCCAAACTAGAGACACGGCCTCTCCACTTCTACCACTGTCGAGCAGGCCTGTACGGGGGTTTCTCAATACATTGTTTGTATTTTGCGAGGGAATTGAAAATTTACGCTGCACGATACCGGACACGTTTGCCAGAGAGCGGTCGCCGCTCACTTGTCGAAGTCCGGGTTGCGGTCGTCCATCCGTTTGGAGTTCATGATGTCGGCCAGTGCGCGCATGAGGCGGAGGTCAACCTCCAGCTGGCGCCACTGGCGCTGGCGCCGTTCCGCCCGCCGCCGGTCCGGCTCCACCACGTGGCGGGGCCTGCACGGCGGGCCCGCGTCCACCGTCGGCGAGGCGGAGGCCACCTGCGCAGCGGTCAGTACGCAGGTCAGTGCGCAGGTCGGTGCGCAGGCCAGCGCCGCCCGGCCACGCTTGGCGCCCGGGGGGAGGCGTGTTCTTCGGTGTGAGTAGGCGAAAAAGGAGATGTTGACCGAGGGGTGTGGTCGTGACCGAAACGCTGTAGTAAGAAGCAGGATATGAAGTCCTGCCTCCAGGATTTCCGTACGTGATGATTTCACCCGGCGTATGCGGTGAATTGTTTTAATCCAGGTCTTCGTCAACAGAGTTTTAGTGAGCTGCGGTTGCCGCGGCACAATCGATGATAAAATGAATACCAATCAAGTGCAAACTTGCTTTGCCATTTTGAAGATGGTGGGGAGCTAAGCGCGGATGGCCCACAGCTCGTGTGTTGTCCCACGCGGGTGCACGGGCGAACAGAAAACATCCACACTTGCTACGTTGGATTAGATGAGATGTAAATAAAATTAGATAAAAAGCTTCCTTCACTACTCCCTGAATTGAGAGCGGCATGCGAATTGGTGTAATTTATCTAACTCCGGTTCGTTAGCAGCGTTCTTCGACAACGAATCCCACAGCTGCGCAGCACCCGCCGGTGGTTACGACAGATGGGCGATATCCCAGGATCTTTCAACCACACCAAAGGGCCATGCTCACATGCTATGCAAACGTGAAAGCGCAGAGAGCCTCGTTAGGCGCATTGAGCCATTTGTGCACGATGCCTTTGCTCCCTGCCCACGAATGCTGTTTGGCTCCGAGGTGGCTCAGAGGATGCTTCAAACGGGCCGCCGTTTGCTGTCGCCGGCACATGGCGGGTTCTCCTGACCCCAGTGTATGAAGCTGAAAGGACTCAGTAGTCAGTGGTTCTCAAAACGAAATGGTGAAAACATGTTGAATAGTATGATGTCTGCACTGTCTGCGACGGTTTATGGCCAGCCGTTCTTTATATTACAACCGTCGCCGCATGATGTATCGCCGCCAGACGCAAGGGCTTTCTGGGAGCCGTAGCCGGTGAAGCGCCGCCCCGAACACAGCTTGACCGGTCAGACTCGGCCCTGGACGGGTGACCGGTCGGCCAGACTTACCCGCCTCCTGTGGCTGTTGAAGCGGCGGCGTCGGTAGGGCTCCACGATGATCATCTCCCGCCGCATCATGGTGCGGCTCAGGTTGTGAGCCACCTGCAGCCAGCCGCTCTCGCAGTCCGAGGCGTTGTCCCCAACAGCCGTCACTGTCGGTACCAGCCGTCGTCACCGCTGCCGCCGTCACCGTCGCCCCAGCCGCCGTCACTGTTGCCCCCGGCCGCCGTCACTGTCGCCCCGGGCCGCCGTCACCTCTGCCACCAGCCACGCCACTGTTGCCCCCGGTCGCAGTCACTGTCGCCACCAGCCGCCGTCACCGCTGCTGCCGTCACCGCCGCCCCCAGCCGCCGTCACCGTCGCCCCCAGCCGCAGTCACCGTTGCCACCAGCCGCAGTCACCGTTGCCACCAGCCCGTCACTGTTGCCCCCGGTCGCCGTCACTGCCGCCACCAGCCCCGGCACTGCCGCCACCAGCCCCGTCACCGTCGCCCCCAGCCCCGCCACTGCCGCCTTGAACCCGTCCAGCCACCGTTCCTCTCGTCTCTGGCGACGACATACGGGCGGCGGGGTCTCCCGCGCAACGCCGGGACACTCCGTCCGGGCCTCAGCCGATCCTGCGCGCGGCGCACGCCCCCTCCCCTCCCTCCGCCAGCCGCGTCGGTTGCCGCGGACGACGACTGGGTCGTCGCTGCCGACGCGTGCGGCCGCCGGCCGGTACCAGGCGGGGGCGGCACGGCGTCACCGGGCACGACCGCAGCGGTGACGGAGAGAGGGGAGAGGGGTGCGGAGAGAGGGGAGAGTGGCACGGGAGGAGTGGTCGCAGCCGGGCGCGCGGCCAAGGCCCGAGATCGCGGAGACGCGGGACGCATTCGGCGCGCAACTGCACGTAGCGTGTCTCGTCCGGGTTTCTTTCCACCCCAGATTCAGCTCAGGGGGGCAGCTGTACCTGTCATTTTGCTTCGTCGGCCACGTTCGCTCCGTGACGCGTGGCCCGTAGAGACAAAGTCAAAGAGAGCTCTGAGGCGCACCGCTCTTCACGAGCTCGGGAGCGTATATTCTCCTTCTCTGAATAAATTCATCCAGTGGCCACGAGACCCAGCAAAGCTACCGCACCGAAGTCCCAGTTCTGACTTCGCAGAGGAGGCAGGTCAATATCGGTCAATAACAGCATTAGCGTAACAATATCAGCAACTTCTTCACGGTCGAGAGAGGATTGATGCTCGTTAATCACTCTGCGCATGCAATGTCACTTCACTACGTTCTTGCGTAATCAAGCGGCTATTTGCGGCGCGGGGTACAGTTGCCCCAGTTAAGTCACATCACTAGGATAATTGCCAACGACGGGGGTGGGATGGGACCTTCGCGAGGATGAGATGGGACATTCTCGCAAAAAATGGGTCGAGCCTGCGGTTTTCTAGCCGCTCCACGTGGACGTGGGATCGGCTCCAGGTGGATGCGGAACCGTCACCAGGTGGACGTGGAATCATCGCCAGGTGGATAAGGAGCCGTCGTCCCGCCTGTCCCTTGTGTCTCCGAGCATCGATCACGCTCGTCTCGTGCTCTGCCCCGCAGCCGCTCGGGTTATCGACCTCGCGAGCCTCCCCCCCCCCCCCTGCACACCTGAAGCCCTCAGTCTCATGTGAGTCTTCGCTTATGGGTCGCACACGCGCGTACGCGCGTTATCGGTCAAAGGCGCTGGTGGTATTGGCGTGGCGAGGGAGGCGACAGGCCACTGGGGTTAGATGTTTGCCAGACCCGTGCGGTGTGAATAGCATCAGACCTTTTAACCAGGTGAGCGCGATATCGCTGGATGCGCCTGACATGCAAGTCTGGATGATGACCTGGGTGACGACCTGGATGACATGCAAGCCAGCTGGCGCCTGGATGATACGGCGCCATGCTTCTGTGGAGACGCGTTGGGACAGAGCGAGCTCCACCTCAGCACCGACTGCGGTCGGGCCGCGCGGATTCAGCTCGGAATGCCCCGAAGCCAGGGCCCAGGTCCTCACTGGCCCTGGCTCCGCCCTTTGAAATGACGTCATAGATACACGCCAATGGAGAACGCCTTTAGTTCTGAATATGGGCACAAGTAGAACCAGCTGATTCAACGCCATGAAGTCATACGGCGCGTAGGAAGGGCGTAGGAGAATATGCGATTATTAGTTATTGGAAAGTGATCTGTGGTAATGTCGACGACACTTGCTACATGAGATCGAGACCTGCCTCCTCGCCGGTCACACAGGACCGTCAACAGCGCATCGAGCGACACTAGACGTTTCTACGTCAGCAAAGACGACTTCTTACTTGCAAACGGAAGCACGCTCTTCGCCTCTCGACCGAGTAGGGAGTGGGCTTGGGCCGTGCGGTCATCGGTAACGAATGTGCTGCGCCGAAGTGAAGTAGCGACTTCGACCGCTGGATTGCAGAGATCGGGGCTCGGGGCGGAAGTTCAGCTTGCGCCGATCCAGGCCCGGGGCGTCGGTGGGCAGACGAGCGTTCCGCGGCGCCTTCCGTGGCGTCGCCGACGGGGCAGACGAGCGGACAGACGGCAGATGTCGCCCGTGGGGCAGACGTGCGGGCAGACGGCAGATGTCCGTCAGCGTCGCCCGCGGGGCAGACGAGCGTGCCGCGACGCCGTCCGTGGCGTCGCCGGCGGGGCAGACGAGCGGGCAGACGGCAGATGCCGCCCGCCGGCGTCGCCCGTGGGGCGGACGAGCGGGCCGCGGCACCGCCCGTCGGCACGCCATCTGTTTGCTCAGCCCGTGTCATGACAGGTGGGCCCTGCCAGCCCGACTTCTCGCGAGGCGCGCGTGTTTGGCGGGAACAAATGGCACTTCCGCGCCAGGGTATCGGTCAAGTCGATGTGCACAGGCGGCAGTCCCCCTGTCATGGTGTGGAGCAGGCGTTTTGTTGGAATAACTTATTTTGCTTAAACGCACCGTGTGCTTTTCTTGGCCACGAGAATGTGTGTACGATCCAAGCAGTTCTGCATCTTGGACAAGCGTCTCTCATGTCCGATGTCTGTGGCATGACGAAGTAAGTACACCTACTTGACATGTCATTAATGGCAATCCGCGGCATGATTTCAAGCTGGAAAAGCGCCGTCTACTCACTATATTTTCTATGAAATATTTTGACACGGAGAGCACAACTGGACCACACAACCAGTCGCTGGGAATACTCAAAGTGAGGAGCCAGTCGCACGAGTCACCATCACGTGTTTTACCACCATCGACTGACTGGGTAGCCGTGGTGCGGAGCGGCCCATAGTAACGACGTGCCCACATATCGTGTCCCTGGGAACGCCTCTGCCGTCATCAGTCTACGATCCGGGGGCCTCAACCCGCCGCCGCGCCCCTCGGACTCGAGCCTGGTGACGCCCCTGTCCGCGGCCGCAGGACACAGTCCGTCCGGCGGGCATTGAAGGCCCTTCCGTGCTCACGCGTGGTGCCCGTTGTGTATTTTTGCACACAAATGCATACAGACGCACGGACGTCGAACATGACGCCTCGTTCGGACCGACATCGCTCCAGCAAATGAGGCAAACACGACCACGACGTAGTCCCACTTTCATCACAGCTGAAATCCGCTCTTGGCCTTCTTTCAAAGTAGTCAGGCAGCTTTCTAGACCAGGTTAGAGAAGCATGGCCACACATTCGAGTGCCAAGAGCAGCGTGCGTCCACAATGTCATTAGCACAACACCACCGTCGTGCGTGTGGTGACTACCAGGTCGGGTGTTTAACATCAAGGTTGGAAGTCCAATGGTGAAGTTGGAATGAAAACACAAACACAAGACACGATGCGTTTGACAGATCGAGCCAAAAACCATGGCGTATCAGCATAGCACAGCAGCACTATAATAAGCTGGAACTCACGAGTCGCGGACAAGGCTGTTCACATTCACCACAATCAGCGAGACAACAGCCCTTACCACACGGTTCCAAACCACGGTAAGGTCACTTCCGTGAAGTTCCGAGCGGGACTGTGGTTGTAAGAAAATTTGAACGCGACGAACAGATGTGATTTTGCTTTTCGTACCACAGCAAATGTCAAAAGAAATTACCTGTCATCACACGGGGCTCAAAGTGCGTGGTGTTTCATCGCATCTGAATGCCAGCATTTATATGCAGCCAGTCGAGACCACGAGAGGAGAGCGCATGCGCACACATGGCCTTACAAACGTCAGGGCGTCAGCAGTGCTTGACAAAATCACCGTGTTCGGCATATGAAAACGTCACGCACAGCAGAACGAAATCCAGACTGCCATCTAACGACGCAATACACAACCTCTGTTTGCGAAAGCGGCCACCTCATTTGCCGATGCGCTGAAAGCTCCAGTCGCGCTGGCAGAGCGGGCAGCGATTGTTCTTCTGCAGCCACTGGGACATGCAGCAGTTGTGGAAGGAGTGGTTACACTCTCCCCAGATCACCACACAGTCGTCCTGCTTGCTGCCGGAGGCCTCCGACTGGCAGCGGTAGCAGGCGTCTGCAACAGACCACGCGCTGGGTCACGGGTGGCACGGGACGCGCGCACGACACACGCCGCTTCGTGGTCAGGCGACCCTGATCCACGCGCCTAGCCACGGCAGCAGGCAGGCTTGACCCGGTGGAAGGCGTGACACGGCCCACCGCCGACACAGCCATAGTGACCTGAGAAGCGGGATTGGCATGCATTGTATATGCATCAAAAGACGTGAGAGGAGCATGGACACAACCATAGCATGATTGTCCATCGTTTGCAGCGGCCGGTTCATACGCTGTCAATGAAGCCATTGGCGAAGCAGATGTGATCATATGCCGACCCGTGCACGGTCTGGGCTGTTTATGTATGCAGTCCCGTGTCGGGAAACATTCCGCACACATGGCCGTGCCAACGATCCGTAATGCAAACCTAGCAAACCCTGTCAGGACGCTAAGTGGTGCACCAATAAACACGGCGCGACACGACAACATGTCGTGGTCACAAGCCATTCAACAACACCACAGGCCAGCGAACGTCGCATCGCAGCTATTGCCAACGATCCACACACGGCTGGCGCCGGAGCCGCAGGGAGAGCACCGGCGTCATGCTGACGCTGGAGCCGCAGGGAGAGCACCGGCGTCATGCTGACGCTGGAGCCGCAGGGAGAGCACCGGCGTCATGCTGACGCTGGAGCCGCAGGGAGAGCACCGGCGTCATGCCGACGCTGGAGCCGCGGGGAGAGCACCGGCGTCATGCTGACGCTGGAGCCGCGGGGAGAGCACCGGCGTCATGCTGACGCTGGAGCCGCGGGGAGAGCACCGGCGTCATGCTGACGCTGGAGCCGCAGGGAGAGCACCGGCGTCATGCTGACGCTGGAGCCGCGGGGGGAGCACCGGCGTCATGCTGACGCTGGAGCCGCAGGGAGAGCACCGGCGTCATGCTGACGCTGGAGCCTCAGGAAGAGCACCGGCGTCATGCTGACGCCCCACGCGGACACCGCCCCATCCGCCCGCACCCTGCATGCTAGTGGGCGTCATACCGCGACCGCCGAGTCTGACCCGCTCACGGAGTGTGACGCGCTCACGGCGTCTGACACGCTCACGGAGTGTGACGGGCTCACGGAGTGTGACGCGCTCACAGCGTCTGACACGCTCACGGAGTCTGACGGGCTTGCACAGTCTGACGCCCTCACGAAGTCTGACGCGCTCACGGAGTCTGACGCGTTCACGGAGTCTGACGGGCTCGCACAGTCTGACGCCCTCACGAAGTCTGACGCACTCACGGAGTCTGACGCACAGCGTCTGACGCACTCACGGTGCTTGTTCGTAAGATTAAAGTGAACTGCATGCGAGCAACAGGAAAGCTCCGCTCAATCAAGTATACAGGAGATTGGCTGCAGCAGACCACGAAGGGCGGCCAGTTTCATCACAACTCGTGGTTTGGAGCCACTACAGCGGTCCAAAAGGCACAAAAGACATCATTCCACACATCGCTGTTGATTCTTCCCAAACAGTCAGCCAGACGCCATGACGAAGATCGACCCACTATGTCGAAGAGAAAGGTCCGCGTTTCCGGTACAAGCGAACGCAACACCATGGAACGTCTCAATAGCGCCAGGCGCGGCGGATGAAAATCAACTGTGCGCAAGCAGTCCAGCTGCGCACGTATTTGTCCAGAGGACGAGCGAAACACAAACCTCCGCTGCCGGCAAAACGCCGAGCTCATTGTGACCAAAGCCGCCGACGCCCTCGTGCATGCTCGGCGCACAGGCGCGCCGGAAGCGCTAATGAAAGGGTTTCCGGGGCCGAGATTGTTTCTCAGGAAATGACGGGCGCGACTGAGCGGGACCGCGATCCAGCCAGAGCTTCGTACCCACACCACAGCACGGCGCTACAGAACTGTCCGCAGTCAGGTACTCTCAAAGACCGACTCCATGCACAGCTCTACACCAGAGTCTCCTACAGCACGAGCTCAATGTCTGGGAAAGGGGAGGAGAGACAGACTGCTCAGCCGTTCAGCGTGCTGGAATTCTCAGCACAACTTTGAACTGAGCTTGGCATGGCATGAGCCAGGTTCATGGCATTGCATGAATAAGGGTATAGCACGGCCACACCGAAATCTTGCCCCACAAGGATTGTTGCAACATGAGGGTCAAGGTGGCTTGTGTTTGCGGCGGCTGGGTTAACGGCAAAAACAGATCCCTTTAATGGGGGACATAAAGCCTAAAAATTACCGCAATAGATGACGTTACGTTCTTAGGACTACAACGAAAAAAGACTGCAACAGTTGCGCCGAGGCCTAACGTTGTCGCACATATTACACCTAAAGTATTGGCATATGCATGTGGTCCGACTCCAGCAGTCAAGTTTAGCTTAGCAATATGGTGATATCAATTACCATCCCAGTGCATAGCACTCAGAATGTATTCAAACTCTGGGTCTATTTCGATTCCAATTCCAGGCAGCCTCGTCAATGCTGACCGACTCTATATTTCCAATTCCTGTTTTTTTTTTTTAATCCACCCCGCTTATGAATCCAGTGAATTTATGAATCCGTTCTGGAATGAAAACTGAGCCTGTTAGACATTCCTCATCAGCCACATCACTGTGATGTCACAGCTTTAGTGTTACTTCTTCTGGTGATGTATCAAGGATTCACGACAACGTTGTTCATCAAGTCTTGCCGTTCCCGGCGCATGCCACACAGCTTCGCAGAAAAAGACGATACGCACAAATTCCATTACCTGGTGGTGAACGGACTTCAAGGGAATGTGCATCCCAGACGTTCGCCGTGAATCCTATTTGGCCGGCCAGCCCAGGTTCAACCAGCCTGATACAAGGGGCTACCGCCGATACCAGTCGGTTATTCCCATTTTTTTGACACAGAGCCTCGACACTCCGTTGGTTATCCAATTCGTGTGGCCAAAGGCGGACGTTTTTAAGCTTCGCTGTCTACCGCCGTTTTAACGACATCCTGACAAGTGCTTCCTTGTTTCACCCACTTGAGGCCGCGTGCAATGGTTGTCTTGGACTAATCTCATCTAAACGAGCTTTTGCTCCTGACGAACCTTTACCCTCGACGAACTTTTACCTTATACACGCATAAGCACGAAGAACTGTCGCATTCGATGGGCCTTTATCCCATACAAACTTTTCCCTGTACCAGCTTTTGCTTGTGCGGCGAACTAAGTGGGACGAACTTTTGCCTTGGACGAGCATTTTCTTATGCGCACTTTATTACGACCAGTTTTCGCCCTTTCAGTACGTCTGACATACACGAAATTTTGTCATATACGAACTTACGCACGACGAACTCCTCGACGAACTTCAGCACAGCGTTCTTTTGCACAACGAACTTATGTCCGACAAAGCCATGCCTTGCAAATTTCTGTCAAGCCATAAAATGCATCTGATCAGTCCACCCACACCCCCAACCCCACGCACTAGCTGACCCCACCCTCACCCTCACACACCAACGAGTGGTGACCGAGCTCTTCTTCCGTGCTTGGTTTACGATGTTTTCGGCCGGGCGGCAGGGGGGCGGGGGTGACCTCGGTAGGCGGTGCGTCGCACTCGGGTCTTCTTCGGCGTCCGTCCCAGTGAACCAGAACGGCACGGCCGAGGGTGCTGATACTCAGAGGTCAAACACTCGTGCCGCCGGAGTTACTGAGAGCGGGGATAGGACGGGCACCAAAGGAACCCGGGACGGAGGCGGCGGAATTCAGGACTGGTACGGACTTGACCCGGTATTGTGACACGCGATATCCTGGACTGCCACAGACGAAACCCGATGCGACCAGCAGTGTAGTAGTTATGCTGTGCGTCTGGGTAACCAGAGGTACAGTGTCACATTCCCCGCCCTTTTCTGCCAAGATGAGAGGCAGACGACGCCATATAGGCACCAGCGGCTGAGTTCGTCAGAATGCCCCTACGTCGACCGACGAAATCCTGGACTGACACGGACGGAACCCAGCACTGCCCCATCCGGGACCGGGGACTATCACAAATGGAATCCTGGACTGCCGCGGACGGAACCCAGCACTGTCCCATCCGGGATCGGGGACTATCACAAATGGAACCCTGGACTGCCACGGACGGAACCCAGCACTGTCCCATCCGGGGCCGGGGACTGTCACAAATGGAATACTGGACTGCCACGGACGGAACCCAGCACTGTCCCATCCGGGGCCGGGGACTGTCACAAATGGAATACTGGACTGCCACGGACGGAACCCAGCACTGTCCCATCCGGGACCGGGGACTGTCACAAATGGAACCCTGGACTGCCACGGACGGAACCCAGCACTGTCCCATCCGGGATCGGGGACTGTAACAAATGGGACCCCACAATGGTGGGGGCAGACCGCCGACCGGCCTCGGCTGTGACCAAAGCCTGCCAGGGACGGGGCTGGAGACCATCAAGTATGGGTGGGCAGCGAGGACGGGCCGTGGACTGGTACAGACGCCACCCAGTGCGATCCCAGTTGGGACCCGGGGCTGTCAGACCAGACGGTGCGCTGTTGAAAGTGGAGCTGGCAACGGGACTGACTGGACTAGACGGCTTTGTTAGGTAACAAGCGGGTACATTTGCGGCTTCTTGTTATTTCATAGGTCATATCATGTTGGCTCTCGGGCTTTGTGGCGGTGCGAACAGCGAGCGTAAAAGGTAAAAATTAAGTTACAACTAATCTTCGCAGTTTTCACACCAGTCGCGTTAGATTATGTTAAAACGAGCGCTTTTTTCCTACTTGACCCCAAAAATTGCTAGCCCACACATTGTCCAGAGCACTTGTAGCCAGTGCAACAAACGTCGTTGTGCCGCTTAGCTGCGCAATACGACCAAGCAGGAAGCCGAGGAGAAATGTGCAGCTAGTTATGACTTCACGGCGAGTGGCAGAAAATCGACTGGATACGACATTGCGGGTCACTTCCGCAGGACTTTGAGCCCAACCCGCAGCAAGTCGTTGACAGGGCTTCATAAACAGCGCAAAGAACACTAGCAGTCCATTACCCAAGAATAATGCG